TTACTCCGGTACCACCCGCTGGCCCTAAGCGGGTGGCATACCCCTATCCGCCACCTGGGGACGCGCCCGGTAGGAGTTGGCTTCTCCCCCGGGTCATATAAATACTCCTTAATATTTTTAAACATAACCCCTAATAATTTTCAAAAAAGCCTTTTTTTGCTAGGTTGCATGTACTAAAATAATGGGTTTATTAAATTCATCAACTTAAAAAAAAGTATTTGAAATAACTAATCTATTGTCGAATCTGCTCAAATGGCAGTCCCGGTTGGCATGTCCTGTATTCTGCTCTTTACATACTAGTATTTTCAGGTGATTTGTAGAAAAGTTTGTGCATCTAGTGAGTGCACTTAAAATTATATATTATATAAGCAAGTTGACAATAATTTAGAATCTGTAGAGCCGTTTTCATATTTTGGTGCAATGATTAATTAGCCTCCTACTTGAAATTAATTGCTTAGTTTATATCATAAATTTGTATGCCTCGATACATAATATACCTATATGTATATATTGCAATGTTTTATTAATATTAAAGTATAACTATATTGAACGTAACTACAATTGGTTACCGTCCCTAAAATAGTATTCGAAGTTAATAGTGTTTTGCATACGTCGTCATGGTGACAACCTTGCTGACCGGTAGTTCGTCGTTTCTTATCACATCTATCTCGCGTGGATCTATTTCAAAATGGCTGTAATATAAACAATAAAAAAAGAGTTTTCTAAATGTTCATTAAAACCTGTATTATCGAAAATAGTTAATTTTTTAAAACGTTAAGGCAATTGTCCAAAAAATCAATAATCGCTACAGTATATCTGATGGCAACGGTAGTTTGGTAGTTGAATTATTATTTAAAATTTGAGTTGATGAATTGATGAAGTACTAATTACTGAAGTACTATACATTAATATTATTCCCCGTAGGGAATTCATGTAAGTAGTTGAGAGACAAGCCATATAAATAATTATAAAAAAATGTAAAAAATATATATTACGATTTACGATCAGTTATTAAAACGAAAATAATCTTAATAGTCCATTGTAATGTTACATTGGTTATTTTTGGTTCTACGACTAAAAGTTACTTGACCAAAGTTGTAGAGATTTTTTTGTGAGACCTATAGTTTGTCAGATAACCCTTAAAAACCATTCGTACCCCTTTTTCCATGATAGCGGTCGTAGGACAAGGGCTGCAACCCCACAAACTTGGATTTAACTTTACACTAACCCCTCCTTGATATCTAAAAAATAAAATTGCGTCCTCTGACAAATGCAACCCCAAATGTAACTTTTCAATGGACTATAAAAATTAAAAATAAGCAAAATAAATGTTTTAAATAACAGTAACAATTGAGTGGTAGAGCAGAGTATTAGATACTACATATATAGCGTAAATGGACCGACGAAGGTACATACTACACTGTCACGGTAGGTAATATATGTAAAGTAACAGTGATCGTACTGTTATATTAGATTCGAAATGAGGAGGCCGATGGCCTAACCACCCCTCCTCTATTCCCTTTTATTCTACAGGTGACATGTAGGTGATGTCTTTGATATGCACAATATCTATACAAATTAGGCGTGGCAGTGTGGTGGAGGTGGATGGTCACGGTCAAGGTGATCTGGCTCATTTTAGAAAAAAAAAACTTAATCGACAAGGTCACGTGACGTCTTAAAGTATATTTATTCGATATCATGGTAATGCATATCATTTACGCATCACATATAGTTTGTCTCGCTCACTCATACATAAAATAATACACTATCTATCTCTGTTATGAAAACGATATTTTTTTGCAATAGATATATGAAAATATTAAAAAAAAACTAACTATTTTTTATACATAAATTATATATTAGTCCTTATGATTTTATTGAATTATTGAAGTGAAAACTTCTATAGGCAGGTTTGGATGAGGAGTAAATCCATGTAAGTCGTCATCGACATGGTCATGTGACGTGTTAACGCTAACATTCAGTTTTAGAGTGACGATAGATGTCAAAACCAGATAAACATAAACAGTTTTAATTTACATTTTTTTTATTTAAGATCAAACAATTTTCAAAAATTGAATATTCAAAAATAACAACTGTTTGTTTATAGTTTTAAGTTTTCACTTCTGTCGGCAGTCCTCATGACTGCTTTTTATAACTTTTTTTAGACTTTTAATTGATATGATGATTTGGTCTTTGATAGAAGTAACAAAACATGTTTTAAGACTCAGGCTTCACATAAAATAAGGATGAGTATATTATGTATAAGTTTATTAATTATTGGCGGTGAGCAGATTTCCTATCGGCAAGTCGCAAAAATAATCTATGTATAAAACAGTCAATTTTAATAATTAATCTGCTGATCACTACTGATACTTTTCATTGTATAGTCCAGTCATTAAAGACATAAAATGAGGCTTTATACAAAATGTCAAAATGTCGTCTAATTTGGCAGTGTTACAGTTTAGTGTCCTTATTAATTTTCCTAATTTGCGACCTTGGAAAAATGGTACCAAAAACTACTTTTTACCCGACAGTAAGGAAAGGGTTATGTTTTTCGCGCCTATCTTTGTATGTTTGTAATATTCTTTATTCCCTCATATCTTCCTAACCACTCAATGGATTTCATTAAGTATCGTTAGATTTGTCTCATTAGTCCAAGTGAAAAAAATTATAAAAAGGGGGGCTGCTAGATTCCCTTATTTGAAAAAGAAAAAAATGAAAATCGACGAACTATGTCAAGTGGGGTATCGTTGAATAGGTAGCTTACGTATTTAAAAATCATTTGAAGGTTCCTGTCATCATTATTCATTTTAAATACATAACAGTTTACAATATATAATGATTTAAACAACCATTCTCGCTAATTTTCCTACTTAATATACTTAAAAAGCTATAAATAAATAAATATATTATAAAAAAAAACATGACTGCATAAAAGCGAACTAAAAAGATGAGAACAAGTTCACGATGGAATAAAGTATTATGCAGTCGGAGACATACATACTCGTATGTACGAGTATGTACATCTTGCTACTACGGTTGTAATTTTTTTTAATAGTTTTTTTTTTATTTATCTATCGCCACCCACGACAGCCAAAGGGCTGCTCTTATCGTTTATCTTATCGTGGAGCAACCCCATGGTTGTTGTGGTCTGTTTCGGCGGACCTGCCGTCGAGGCGTCGTGGTTAAGTGCATAAGCAATCCTGCGACGCTCCATTAAGACGGTTTTGTTTTGTGGGAGGTTTTGTTGGGTTTTAGTGGGTAGTACTGGCATTTCTGGCCTGTATATATGCAGGTAGCATGCGTAAATGCATTTCCCAACGTTAAAAAAGGTATGTTTTTGTTGCGCTCCGTTAAACGCAACAGTAAACACCGGCGGGGCGACGGGCGCAGCCCCACCATCGACAGCCATTACATGACGGAACGCCCACTTCCATTTGAGACCCGTGGCCGACAAGACGACCTTAAAATAGTTAATTTGCCTTCCCTATTCTTTTGTAAACCTTACCGATTGTACCAACATTAAATATAATATTATACAGTCTACTCTTTATTTTAACGTCCACCAGGACCCTATTATTTATTTATTTATTTATTTATTTATTGTATTATATTAGGTGTGGTGCCGAGGTCGTCCCTAGCTACGTCGACCAGTTATGGTCCATTGTAGCTCCCTTTAGAATGAAATTAAAGTTCTCCGCTTAGTCCTGTTAGCACATGAAGAAACAATACATGGAGCTTATATGAAATACAATATTTTTAAAATTTATAACAATGTGTAAAAACCCTTAGTGACTAACCATTTGTAACCAAAGGATATTTTATGAATGATTATTCATAAAATACAAACGCCATTTATGAATACACAGTACAAAATTATTATCTAATGCTAGTAGGAAATCGCTTATTTTCAGAGATGAGACATTTTTAAAATACTAGTATTTGAAATGCAAAATACAAAATACCTTTTTCCATTTTTTATTTAAATACTATTTAGAAAGTCATTTTGTATTTTATTTGAAATACCTTTTAGGACATATCTTGTATATGCAAAATGCAAAATACTTATTGATAAGTTTTGTCAACATCAATAAATTAATATAATAATAAATGGATAGTAAAAAAAATTTAAATACAAGCTTTTATTTAAATGCACTAAAAAGAAGAAAACATACTTTAAATTAAGTCAAACCCAACAATTTATTACATTACACAATGTATATGTACAAATTTTACATACAGTACAAATTTTCATCCCCATTATACTCTTTAAGGAATGATTTTTGGGAAAAAAACTATAGTATATCCTTCCCAGGGTCTCAAACTATCTTGTTACCAAATTTCATCCAAATCGGTTCAGTAGTTTTGGAGCCTATTCAGTACAAATAAATAAACAAAAATCAAATCTTTTCTCTTTATAATATTAGTATAGATAAAAAAGCTTGTCGCGAGATTTACCTATTTTAAATATTATATTCTTGTTTATCTACAGTTTAATAAGATTTATGTATGTGAATACTATCTCACATCACATCCTGCAGGTCTCTATTGAACTATAAATATGCAAATATAATTGCTTAGTGAATAATGCAATCCTCCGAAATCATCATTACATGTTTTAGATTGCAAGTATCTACTTTCAGGCAATTTTGGTTTCATTGTTTAATTTAATTTTTATTTTATTATTTCAATTTTTCAAGTGTAATTTTAGCTTTTTTTTGCTTATTTCTTTCTAAATTTCAAAAATTAGGCTTTCTAAATATAGAAATAGTTAGTAGTGCTAAGGCACTTAAATTTTATGTAATTATATAAAAAAATACTAGCTTCCACTCTCACTTTGAATGAAGAATATATTGAGCTAAAAATAACCTTTGGTTCTCTACAAAAAATCATGCTCATTGTAACTGCATGAAAGGAGAATCCAACAAATAATTTCGGAATAACAATGCTAGAAGTGATCAAAAGGTTAAATAATATAAAAGATATTTCAATAAATTTTATGTAATTCCTGATAACCCAACCTCTGCAAACAAATAGGCATTTGTCTCCATATTAAAGTAAGCTTCAAATTCCCATGCACTTACATAAACCTCTGTTAAGTTTTCATCTCTACAATGTGCTATGTTCTCTGAAATGATATAAATACATATTTCCCTATAATTATCATAAATTGATTTAATAATTTATAATTATATTATAATTATTTCATTATATATAATCTGTTTGAATAGAATGACCATTCATTTCATTAAAAAAAATTTATAAGAAACATTTTTGGCCATTATCAGACTAAAATATTATAATCATAATGATTATTTAAATTGAGCATATTTACCAGTTATAATTTGTTTTAATCTTAGCTCTTTTTGTAAGGACTCATTGATATCAATAATACAATGTGCAATTTCACTTGCTGACCAAGTATTTATCATGGGTTGATTGGTTGGCTGTAATTTGGAAAGAGCCTTCATTTGAGTGCATATGATATTAACTCCTGGAAAATAAAACATATACGAAATCAATACATTTAGTAGTGAAGTGTTATGTTTGCTATTATCACTCCAAAATATGTTTTATGGAAATACTTGTTCTTTTTATACTTTACAGAAACATTTAGTTAGTCCCAAGTTACCACAAACTCGAAATGCACTTTTGGTAAAGATACCTGGCGAGAAAGTAATTGAAAATATATTTTTTTAGTTTTACCTCCTGCTATATTTTCTAAGCTGTCAAAAGCTTCTAATAAATCTTCTATAAGTTGTTTTGTTTGGTGAGGATAATAATTATCTTCACAGTCGTGTAATTTTAGGGCTGACAGAGATTTACATATTTTAACGCTTTTATCTCGTATACGGGTCCAGTCACTAAGTAAACTGTGTAGATTTGATATGTGTGTATATGCAGTTTTAGATATTCCTAAGCCATCTTTAATAGGACTTGTGATTTCTGAAAAGGATTCTAGTAAAATAAATGTAATTACAATAAAATTAAAAATTGCAATAAATAAAAACCACACCTTTAGGAATGAATTGAACTGAATTATCAGTTTTTTTTGAGGGAGTTTCTGACATACTTTACTATCAATAAAAAAATACAAGTACTTAAAAATTAGCAGGATGTATTTATTTCTGAAATATTATTAAGTATCATAATAATTATAATAATATAATATCATATCATATAATATCATAGTAGTATAATAATAATAATCTCTGATATGAAAATGATAATTATTTATTATAAACACAATATGAGATATGCAATTTTATAATTTATTGGTCAAATGTCAATAGTCAATACCATGGATGACAAAGTCAATACTCAATTCCATGACAAATGACAATTGGCAATTGACATCCACATTCCACAGAAATCATAAAAATCAACAGATTAAAAGTAATAATATATTTTAAATACTTTTCATTTAAATAGCAAACGTGAGTTCTACACAGAAAATAAAAATAATAATAAAAGTCTTTATTGAAAACTCCATATGAGAAGTTATCATTGGATATAACTTTTTAAGTATTTAATTCAAATATATTATAATACAGTTAAAAATTCCATCTCATTATCATAATTCATAATATTGCTTGTAAAATGTATAAATAACATATTACTCTCGTGGAACATGTGCTTTTATAAATAATAAGCACAGAACATTTGCTTCAAATAATAGATAATAGAAAAAAATGATCTTACCACAGACAATAAATAAGATTGATACCTGAAGGCTGAAAATTTGACAGATCACAGAAGAAAATTACCTACCTACCGAAGATTGTTATTGTTCTTTAATAATTTATAATAATCATCCATGGTTTTAAATTTTAATAACAGAAAACTAATACTAAAAATTAAGAACATTAGTATGTATTTGTAATTTACATTAAATAAATCAGTGGTATTATAATCCGTTTTTCTAAAAAAACTTGTAAACGATGGCTGGGCCTATGCAAGACGTCGTGGAAGAAGATGCTGCTGATCTTCAATTTCCAAAAGGTTTTTAAATTACATAATATGATACAAATCTAAATCAATTTATACATAATATATAATGCAAATCAGAAGTAAATGTGATAAAATTATTTATTCGTTTAATTATTTGTAGAATTTGAAAATGCTGAAACACTTCTTATATCAGAAGTTGATATGCTACTAGAACATAGAAAAGCACAAAATGAATCAGCTGAAGAAGAACAAGAATTTTCCGAAGTGTTTATGAAGACTCTAACCTACACTAATATGTTTAAGAAATTTAAAAACAAAGAAACCATAACTGCTGTCAGGAAGTATGAATTTAACAATTATAAATTTAAATAGTAATTGACCTTTGTAACCCTTACATGTTATGGCAATTAAATAATCTGTTTCCTGCCTACAATGAATGGCCAGTGTTGGTGAAGCTGTTCTTCTAAATATCTTGTTAGAATCTTTTCTTCCCAGGATAAAGAGAAAGCTTTATAACTTGAATTGCAGGTGAATCCTCTTTACACCAGTAAAAGTTTTTAGGCTATCTGATTCAAAAAACAAAAGCATTTTAAAGTTTGGACTTTATTATATTTAGTAAATTTATTATTTATACTAACTAGTGTTCACCTAGCGGTAGAAATTCAACTATTATCATCATTGAATATATAAAAAAGCTACCTGTTTCTTTTAACAAAGTTAAAATGTTTATTGATAATCCTTATGCTCATCAATAGCTATTAAATAAAAAAAGAAAATCGGTTAACCAATATAGGAGATTAAACATACTGAACTGTTTTGCTTTTGTCTATTTAGATTTGGCAAGTGTTGTATTTAAAACAACATTGGTTTATTTTATTTATAGTAAGTTAATTTAAAAAGAAATTTAATAACCCTTTTAATTTTTAGCCTTCTACAGTCTAAAAAGTTACACAAATTTGAGGTTGCAAGTTTAGCGAACTTATGTCCAGAAACACCAGAAGAAGCTAAAGCATTAATACCATCTTTAGAAGGAAGATTTGAAGATGAAGAACTTAGAATATTGTTAGATGACATACAAACCAAACGTAGTATACAATATTAATAAAATGTTGAAAAATCTGATATTCTATTTTTATTTAATAAGCAAATTCAAAATTAGCAATTTTACAATTCTTATAAATCTTGATGATTTTATTTGCAAAGCAAATTGTAAGTTAAATCAAACAAAGTTAATTTTTTTAGACCAAATAAATTAAAATACTCATTTGTAGGACACAAGTAGCTTTTTAAACTTGTATTTTTTATTATTATAGGTAGTCATATTTTTTTGCTCGTAATAGTAAATACAGTTTTAATATAACCAATTTAATCATATCATTTTATTAATAATAGCTTTTTATTATAATCTAAAACGCTTCTACATTTCATTATATCATTCTATTCAATATTGTTATATTTATTGCCAAATTAAGCGGAACATTAACATTATTATTACAAATTTTATTTCACAATAGCAACATTCCTATGCTCAAGCCACCACAGACAATCTGTCATGGCGGAGTAATCAGCTGTTAATTGCAATGCCGACGAGTAGAAATAAATTGTTTCATTTTCGTCACTAATGCATAATTTTCTTCTTACTTTTAATTTTAATTATAGCAATAGAACGTAATATTTAATAGTAATCTTATTTAGGAAAAAATAAAGAATGGCGCGATGTCCAGTGTCATCTGTCAATTTTATTCATTCATCCATTGTAGTGCAGAAAAAAATGTGACTTGTTTGATAAATTCTGTTTTATCCATTATGTGCTAGATGAAGGTTAAATACAGTGGTTCCATGTTTACTTATTGTTTTATGAACTTGCCGGTAAAAGTATCGTATAATATAATCATTTGTATAAGTACGTAACGCAGTTTTTTACAAGGCCTAACAAATTCCCTCTACAAAGAATCTGTGCGGCGTCGGCGGTATCGTTTATTTTATTGTACATTGAAGTGGTGTTTAAGTTTGTATGTCATAATCGGTGAAAAAATAGTTTTTTTAAGTGAGTGTGAGGTGACGAAGCGAAAAATGTCGGGTCGTGTTCGAAAACAATCGGATTGTCCTGTGGGTAAGCAGGGCCCTATGAGGGCGACGCTGCCTGTATCATCAGTGATGAAAGGCGGTGGTTTTAAAAAGAACGCTGCTAACAGTCCAACTTTGTCGCCTACAAACGTGTGGCGGCGAATATCTCCCGATCATGCTCTTTCTGGTCAAAGAAGTCCAGGAGCAGTCAACTACAAAGGTATGCCAATTTTTATAGACAATAAAGTAATACTTATGGCTAGAAAAATAAAAAAATGTTATTTGTATTGAACTGACATCTACCTATAAAAATACATAAGTATGATATGTAATAAATTTAGTCAAAGTAAATAAAGTATATTACTTCAATGGGTCTCTTTGAACACATAACTCCTACTTATATAATAAAAATAAAAGTTTTATCTAAATATAAATTATCAATTCATTATTAACATGTAACTACTGCAACTTTTCTTTTATTTTAATTTATATTATATTCAAGGTCAGTATTTATATCTTTAATTTTAAAACATGTAATACTATTTAATGATTCTTTAATGTGGACAAGTTTACTTTATGAAATGTATGTAAATTTTACATTGTATTAAATTGTTATTGATGACTTGTAGGCAAAGGACGATTTGGATCTAATGTTATCAGACGCACAGCCTCCCTAGACACTCTGTATCATAAAGGACAATGGCCTAGAGATTACTATCTTCATGCAGGACAACTACAAGTTGATAAATCTACACAAGTAAGTTTTTATTAAAGATTAAGTGAGGAAATGGGATTATTTAAAAAAAATGAATTTATGGTTTACTTTGTATTGAAAATCATATGTGATTAAAAGTTCATCTATATTTTATGGGAGTTAATCTAGTAAAAAAATTATTAAGTACATCCATTTGAATACAATTACATAGATGCAATTGTTGAACAGTTGATGATTGTAAATAACTGATAAGGTGGAACATTCATAAAAATTTGTTAGCCTTTTTAAAAATAAACAGTGGCTTGATTTCTTATATAAAATAATTAATAGTCTATATATTGCTAAAGATATGACTTAAATAAAAGATATATTTTAAATTTTGAATAATCACCAAATGGTGTTTTTTATCTTCCTTTGATAAATATTATATTTAATTTCTTGTTTTCAAAACATATTACCATATAAAAGCAATTACTCTTGTTCTTGTACTTTTTACATTTATGTAAAAACTTAGTATTATGTAGCAGGATACTTAAAAAATAAACATATAAGATCAAAGTTCTGACTGAATGTCAAACCTTGACCACACCATTAGACCTGGTAGGCTAATATTTAGATAGTGTATTTCTATTTTAGTTATTTGCATTTGAGTAATGAATAAAGGTTTATTTCTGATCCTTATTTATTACTTAAGTTTGGCAGCTATTTGTTGATTTAATTCAAATATTTATTTCTCCTAAAATTAGCTTTACCTTTTAGAGTTTTAGCACTTCTTTTGCTATATATTTCTTTTAAAGTATTGTTTATAGTAGTAGAATTATTATGATTATTTTTGTTTTATACTTGTGGCACTGCATGTTTAATGTTAACTGATTTTATTTGATACCTAGGTTAAATGTAATGCTTCTATTATTAAGTTGTGTACTAAGGTTTTATCCGATTAAATGTATTGTATTATTATCCTTGTAAGGAGGACTACCTTGATGTTAGCCCTGCAACTTTGCTTCACATGATAACTTTGATGATTTTACTAAGATTTTAATAGGTTTAATGTGGAGCTTGATCGATTGCCATGTAGAAGTTTTTTAAATTATTCCCATGTATGGGATATCAGGATTGTTCAGTAATGAAATATGTACTTAATATTTCAAGATAAGTTTGTTATGCCATGGGGTAGCCATCAATAATGTTCATAATTTTGACTGTTCTTGTGGTCTTCCATTTCTTTTCTTTTCACTCTATTCCATTATACATCTCTTGAATAAATTTTTGTCACTCATTTGCTAAGAGTTCCACTTTGATTTTGATCTTTGTACAACTGCCAAAACTATCTTGGAATCTGTCTTTCCTGGAATATATTTCCTGGAAGTAGCCTTTGTCTCTATCACCTCTATGACTATATTTTATCTATTATATATTTTTAACTGTGATTTGTTTTTAATGTCATACAAAAAAGTTATGATTATGAACTGATTATGGGATAGCTATTTTGAAATCAAAGGTAGATACTTGTAGTAGTATTTTATATTCTGTCTATATAATTGTAGACTGATGATGGAGGTGGAGTTTCTGGACGGTCATCTAGAGGTTCAGAAGATGACAAGCTGGACCGTTTCCTTAGAAGTCGTCTGCAGAGACCACATAAACCAACTGCATCTGGAGATTATTCTTCACATTCAATGAGTCCTGGATTTTGTGAGTATTAAATATTAATATTATATATAATGTGTTATTAGGGTTAAGTACATCAAAATTTAAAAAAAGGAACCCTTATAAGATCACTCTCTTGTCTGTCTGTCTGTCTGTCGTTGTGTCGCCACCGATTTTATCAGGAAAGGGTGGACCTAGCAAATTGAAATTTATACCAGATACTGACCTGTGTTGTGTTGTAAGATCTTGCTTTTAAGCAAAAGTGACCATTCCAGGTCAACCCGAAGTACCCTATAGGTTTTGGGTCGAAAACCTAGATGGTAGTTCCCGTTGACCTAGAATCACGAAATTTGGCAAAAAGCAAGGACTTACAGCACAAATAAAGGAAAAATTCCAAAAAATAAAAAAAGAATTGAAAATTAAAGTTAAACAGATTACCTACTATGGAACCCTCGGTAGGCGAGTCTGGCACGTTTTATTCTATTTCTAAAATTGCTGCTTGTAGTAAAATGTGGTGAGAACAACAACTCAATCCACATCATCTCAATATAGCTGAATAATGAGGATTGGATTGAAATATCACAATGTTCAGTCCTTTCATCTTTCTAGATTTTAAAATAAGTATGATGGAAAATATAACTAACAGCGTATGACCATTGCAAGATACAAAACTTTTGTAAGAACCAACAGCCGCTGCATAAAGGATGATTATAAAAATGTATTTTAATATAGTTTGTAATTTTAAAATTATATAATACATATAACATACAAATAAATTAATTAAATAAATTATGTGTAATTTATAAATACTAATTTTTTCATCAATATCCAGGGTCCCGTTTTGGTAGTGGTGGTGTACCTCTTAGAGCAGCTCGTTCGTCAGTGGAAGGTCTAAATCAAGAGATAGAACGACTTGTTCTTTGTCCAGCCAGTGGAACCCAGACTCCACATATTGACCGACTACGAGATAAGGTAACAAAAATTGTTTAATTTATAATTTAAACTATAACATTACAGTAAAAGCGGAGTACCTGCTACTGTTATTAGACTTAGGTATTTAGCATAAGCTAAGTTAGGAATCGTCAAAATATGAGAAACAAATCCTTATTATTTTAAACTTTTTTTTTGTGCTATCTGCAATCAGTCGTAAACTATAAGCAGATTTGTTTCCCGTCGTTCTTATCGTGTACAAGGAGCTCAGCAGGATATACCTCATCCTTCACCATCTGTCACCAAATTTCAAATATATCATGGCATTTCCGTTGTTTAGTGTAACTGATAGTAGCTAGCGTGGTAGTTAAGTCGTTTGGATGATTTTCCAGGCGTGTTTTACATTTATTCCCTGTTAGTTATTACTCCTCCACAATTCTTATGCTCAGGGCTTCATGGATCTCTGTGTTGGTCATGAGCCATGCTACATTTGAAATGTTTCTTAGATGCCATTTTGCAGCCTTTGCATTTTGTTTAAATTGGAATCGCAAGCACATCTCCACGCACCATACATCCATATTTATATATGGCAACACTTTATTTGTTAAGCCTCTATCCTTTATCATTTAGAAAAGTAAAGGGTTAAAAAAAAAGTACAATTCTTGTTGATTTGTAGGCTATACGAGTACTTTGTTATATTCTAAAATGAATAATATGTTTTTTACACAAATTACTTTAACTCCAAAGTGACGATTTATTTCTATTATACATATAAAGATATTAATTATAAGCTGTATATTTCCAGGTTACTCCAGAAGGGCACCGCGCACCGCTGGCTGAGCTACTAAGGCGCTCTGTTAACACTCAAACACCGCACGATCTATGTCACACGGCCCATTCATCAGGTACAGATAATACATAATTATTATATTCTATTTTTATACATTACTAGCGACTCATTCTAGCTTCGCTCGGGTTCGTCCCTAGGTACGTTTTTAAGGTTAGTATGGAATAGATAGGCGATCCCTTGCTTTGTGAAAAACAAAAACATTATCTCACGGGATCCGTACATTTTTCCGGGATAGAAAGTAACCTGTGTACTATTCCAGACTATAATCTATGTCTCTGACAAATTTCATCCAGATCCGTACAGCAGTTCTGGCGTAATTGAGTAACAAACATCCATCCATACAAACTTTCGCATTTATAATATTAACGGGAAACACATTATGGAATATAAGGAGTTTTTCCATAATATATTTTTTATTGTTTGATATATTTTTTATAAATAAATGTAATAAAGTAATGCTCTAAATTTAATATGTGCTTATATTGTTTTTCTTTTTCATAAATAATATAACATAATGCTTCTTTTCTTATTTTTCTAAATTCGAAATATATTCAGGAAACAAGGGAAATAAAACAGTAACCATTATTTTGTATGTATATTGCTACCCCTATGATTACTAAGCTTATTATAATAATGGAAGTGAGTATTCGTCCAATCTACGGGTCTACGTGACTTTCCCGTGCCAAACCCGTGGATCAATAAAGTTAAGCATTCAGATCACGGGAATTTTTAAATTTGCCTATTGCCTAAGTTAGAGTAAGAAAAAATCCGAAAAGGTAGTTTTATTTAAAATATTAATAAGTTGTCAAAAACAATGTGACGTTTACTAATATGTTACCGGCTAAAGCGGTTCATCTAAAGTGTATCAGGATAATAATACTACTTTAGCCCGGACAAAATACTAAATACTTTAGGCTCAACTAGTTTGGCCTAAGCCAAACTGATTTTGATGTATAATTCGGCTGTTTAGTATATATGGAACGCGGACTCTGGAGGAGTGGGTGGTATTATTATGTGACAGGTCCGACTTGGATAACGTAGGTTGAGAACGAGGCGTAGTGTAGCTCCCGCCTTAGCTTTCTCAAACTACCCTCCTCGTTAGGTCTTATTTTATTTCAAACCCAGAACCCGAGAACTAGATATAATAATTTAGCAGAAAATTAAGTAATGTTCATTACGCGTATAACCTAAATGGAGATGTACTAAATAATATAAAAGAAATAAATGATTTAGGCATCACGATAGACAATAAGCTAAGTTTTGTGCCGCATGTAGATTATTTATTAAAAGTAACATTAAAAACAGTAGGTTTTATTATGAGAAACACTAAAGAATTTAAGAAATCACAAACCAGATTAGTATTATTTAATTCAATGGTGAGAAGCAAATTAGAATACTGTTCTGTTGTATGGAATCCATTCTATCAAGTACACAAGGACAGAATAGAGAGAGTACAAAAGAAATTTTTGAGACACTTAACTTATAAAGATAATAAGATAAATGAGAATAATAATTACACTGACATGCTTAGATATTATAAAACTCTTTCCCTATCAAGTCGTAGAACAATGCTAGATGTTTGTTTTTTACATAAACTCATAAGTGGAGGAGTAGATTGCAAAAATTTATTGACAAAAATTATGTTTTCTATACCGAGACAGAACGCAAGAGCCCATATAAAAAGAAAATGCACTTTTCAATGTCGAAAGGTAAAGTCTAACTTAGGCACAACTGCTCCTTTAAACAGAGCCGTAAGGAGCTATAACTTGCTTTTTAGCAAGGCAAAAATTGACATTTTCAAAGACTCCGCCACGTCATTTAAGAATAAATTAAAAAAATATTTCACACACTCGCAATAAAGAAAAATAAATGTTTGTTATGCCACTTGCATTTTTAGTTAATTTTTGGGTTATTAATTATGTAGTTTTTTTTTATTTAAATACATTTTTCAATTAACTTACGGTACTGATTTTTTATTATAATGGTTTTGTAGACTATAGTAATGATTTTTATTGTTCATGGCTTTTTATTTTCATTTTGTACTGTTTTTTTTTAATCTTTAATTTAGTTTTTTGTTTGGGTGTGGGAATTAGGGTTGGAAGTAGAGAACGCCTTATTATATTACATGTTGAGCTAGCCTGTAAGTGTGATGTACAGTGTAATACTTTTTAAATTTGTTTTATATTTTTAGTGTTATATCACATTGTATGTTGCGTTGGCTTGCCTAATAAATAAATAAATAAATAAATAATGTTCTGTTATTTCAATCAGTTTGGCCTACGAGTCAACTACGGGAAAGCTTCCCGTAGGCCCCCAGATCCGGCGAATAGTCGCGTCCTTTAATAATAACTTGTATTATATAATTTGTCCTTAATAGAGGTACTAAGTTTAAGCAAATTTCTCTTCAATAATTTTTCTTATATTTCAAGAAGTCTCTTTTTTATATAATTATGAAAGTGTTATGTGTATATAAATAAGTGTGTATTGTGGGCATAGATCCACCGTCACGGGGTTCCCTATCCAGCGCGGGCTCAGCCGAGCTCCTAGCGACAGGTCTTATATCTATCTACGCTTTAGTCTGAACACATTACTACTTTATTGTATTTAAATAATAATTTAATAAAACCAGTTTTTTTACTGTATATAAAAAAAGATTCATAGGTACGTTTTGTTATATTTATTATGTAAAATAATTTTTCTAAATATCTAATATGTACATTCAAATTTAAAATTATAATTACTGATATGTGAACAATAAGACAAAACACGATAAGAAAACAAAAAGCAGCAATGTGTTCAGTTACATAGAAAACCCCTCTCGAATGAATAGTTTCTTGCACCAAACACTGTTATGACTATCCCAGCATGAGAATTTTCTTTGAATTTTTTTTCTTAGATTTTGAATTTATCAATATGATTTTTATAATTAGTCTTAATAACAAATATACATTGATAGTTTATTTATAGTACTTCATGAATTATCTATAGTAAACATATCATATTGTTTTGTAAATGTGTTTAGTATGATTACACACAAGTTCTTTTTGATATGAAGAGCACAACATTTTAACATGAAACATGTTAAAACCATGCAACCAATTCATAAAAATACATTATTTTACTAGCCAAATGACAGCATCTTTTGTTTTTGCAGACTTTGTGATGAGTACTTTTTTTTGCTTTTTAGATCTTTCTCTAGATACATACTTTATTAGGTAATTTTAGTTTATATATGTATACATATATTACAGGTGGCAGTGTGTGCTCATCACCAGATTTAGATGGGTCTAAGCTCGGGACTTCGCCGCAAATAAACCGATTCTTAGCGCGTGAACCCCCAGATGGTTGTGAAAAGGTAATATTGCGTTATAAACTATTTTTAAAATACTACTAGTAAATATGATATAACATATAATATAGACCTAATATAGAGTACCTGGACCACTGAGCTTCGCGTCGAGGAGTTTTTGGCCAAAAAAGCATTAAAAAACAAACTAAATTTTTTAATAAATACAAAAAAAAAACAAAAGTAAAAACTTGGCCGCTTGAGCATGATGCTTATATCCGAGCGTGCGTAATAATCGACCATATTTTGCGTGCGTAATAATGCGAAAGAAAAGTGCATGAAAATTCGAAAACACGCGTTTTCCAAAGAGATAAGACTAATCTAGATCGATTTATCGCCTCCGAAATCCCATGTATACTAAATTTCATGAAAATCGTTGGAGCCATTTCCGAGATTCAGATTATATAGATAGACTAGCGGACCCGACAGACGTTGTCCTGTCTACACGTCTTTAATTTGAAAATTTCAAACTTTTTTTAATAATTTTTTTGATGAAAATTATTATTCAAATTGTGAATCTAAACCATTCCCAGATAGATCCCCTTGAACACACACAAAAAATTTCATCAAAATCGGTCCAGTCGTTTGAGAGAAGTTCAGTGACATACACACTCACAGAAGAATTATATATATATAAAGATATACTTTAAAAGCGTTCGTCATAAATATTCGTACTTTAACCGACTTCCAAAAAGGAGGAGGTTCTATGTCCGTCTTTATGTATTTGCGTTTTTTTTGTGTACATCAATATTTTCGCCAATTGTAAATCGATTTAAAAAAAAAAAAATTGGTTCGTAAAAGTATACTCCCGAGGTGGTCCCATTATCCACTCTTATTATCTGATGATGTAATCTCAAGGAAATCGAGGAAAACTAACTAACAATGTAAAAACTTAAAAAAAATCGACTTTTAAACCACAAATATGCACTCAAAAGCAAAAAATAGCATAATTTGAAATATTTGAAGTCAGTTTTTTTTTCTTTTTAAAAAAGTTTTTTTTGATAAACATTTTCATTTTTGTTAAGATCAACGACGATCACCTATTACAATATGGATTATTATTTTTCCTACTATGTGACAGGTGAACTTGAAAGCGGGCGAGGGCGCGTACACGGAGGCGCTGCCGATGAAGCCGTCGACGCCGGGCTTCACGCTGCGGCCGTCTCTCGGCTCCGCCTTCCAGCCGCTGCAGCCCGCGCCCGCGCCGCCCGCGCCCGACCCGCCCGCGCTGCCGCACTGACTGCGACGCCTCCCCCGCCCCATGCCCACACTGGCGGAAATACTTTGCTGTGTCATCTGTTAACCCTGCAATTGTAGGGGGCCTTCATTCACATTACCATGCAGGTAGGGATCTTTCAGTTTAAAATTGTACTTGACCTTGGTGCAACTTACACGTTTATTTCAGTTTGGGGAAGGAAATATTTATTTCAAGTTCTTTCTTATTTCTTTTATTTATTCTAAATTTACTTGTGTAAAACAGTTGCGATAAATATTTTCCGTTCAGATATTATTAAAATAATTATGTAAAATGCTACTAGATCGAGTGCAGTTTAAGAATGAAAGATCTTTACATTGTACCCCACTATTAACACTTAACAACTCGTGCGATGTCGGAATTGGAAGTTAGTGACGATTTGGTCGTTTTGGTCCAGTCGAGTTTTTTTGAACATAGAACACAGATGTGTATTCACAGAAAGTATATATTTTGATACTCGTTACGTGACATCCTATTCTGCAGTAGCCTGTATTGTAATGTGGATTGGGTTAGTGTCTTTTGAAATCGTCAGAAGTGTTAATGAATATTTTTAGTGACATGACGATTTTTAAAGACATTTGATGATGACAAGTCTAAACAAGAAAGCGTTGTTATGTCACTATGTTCGATACATTAGGTTGTTAATGTGAGAGCCTTTTGATATAATATCCTTTCTGTTTAGACGCAAAGGATTCTCTTTCCGGACAGTAGGCAGCCCTGGGCGGGGGCTGATGCCACACATCACTGACAATGCTCGTAGCAACGGCAGCATCACTCTGACGCTCGATACGACGAATTTCATTTGAAGTTATAGTTCGGTAAATCCATCCAATTTGTAATAGACACCGGATTTAAGACCTTTTGAGACTTGTTTATAGTTGTCAATTTGTATTGCACTCCGCACGGTTGGCCTTTGTGCGGACGATATTTGTTTATACGTTAAAGTGATCATCCGACAGATTATCGTAATTGGCGGTAGGAGCGGGTTCGATATTTAACACATTTTTATACTGAATATATAGTTGTGGAACATTTTATAAAATGGAATCTTAAGCAGCATTGAAACATTTGGCATGTTTATATTTAAACAAAATTTTTACCATTGTATTACAATAATTAAATTGTCGCTTAAATATGTGACCCGCTCCTTAAGCACCGGTTAAGATTATAGTATTCTGCTAGTACCTGGTTCCAGTCTGAATTATTTCAAATATATTTTCGTGATATATATTAAAATTATGCAATATTTCATAAAATATAAATATTAATTATTTTTAACCTATAAACGCGATTGGTTGCATATTATAAGTGTAATTGAAGTTAATAAGGTAAAATTTTCATCACCATCATAGCCCATGACATCTATGTATAAACGTTCAGTTAGTCGAGTCGAATTTAACAATTTAAATATTATAAGGAATATCGAATATTTCATCATTCGAATTTCATATTTTCACGTTTATGTAGTGTAGATAAAAATATATAATGCAGGGAAATATAGAGCTTTTTCTTAGCGTCATACGTGATTTTTCAAAATTATCGTAAGTAATTGATTTATGTTGGTGATAATGTGCTTGTAACATATTATTAAACAATAATGAATTGAAATACTTAAATAATTGTAATAGTTAAATTTTGCCTGTTACATGAGCTCGTCTGTAACATGAAGGAAAACTATGTAAAAGAATGGCAAAATATTTAACATTTTAAAATTTATTCATGCTATTGTAACATCGGTTTGTATTCATTTAAGGTTATAAATGAATGAAATTATCGATTGTCTTAAAACACATTAGAAGTACTAATTCATCATTTTCTTACAAAGTACCTACTACACACTTAAATCAGTAGTGACAATAATAATTGTATATAAGTTATATTTTTTATTCGGATACTTAATGGCGGTAGGTTGTGTCCATTATTATAATTTAGATGAATAATATTTCATAGTTGTCAATTTCATTGAATGGGCCATTGTTTAGTGTTACACTATACCAAACTACTTAGAAGATTCGAAGCAACCAAAGCGAAGTCACCTTATTGCGTTTTATTTGCATCTCTGTATCTACAGTGCAGTGTTTGTGTGCGATTTGTTCCGTATAAGCCTCTTTGTTTGTGACGACATGAGTCGAGTAAAGGAATGCGGACGCGCAGAGTGACTGAAAATCAATTATGATCTCAAATATTGTTTATGACGTGTATTTAAATTCATATGTGTGTATATCCGTTATTAATTGACTTACTTCTCTGATGAAATCGCAATATTTTTGTCTTTTGCGATGAATTACTTGGACCAAAATTCTCAAGGTCGGAGTGGACGGGATACGCGGTGAGGTCGAGGTTCAAGTTGGGCTGTTTTTCTAATGAAGATAGCTTTAAAATATGGGATTTGACAAAAAAAATGGAAGATGATAGACTGATTTTTTAAATCTTTACTCATGCTTTGGTACAGGTATCTTGACAATGATTATAGTGAAGTAAATAAATAAAGGTATATATATGCGAATAGCACGTGCGCCATTTGCCCTCCACTTCCCTCGCTATTCCAATCGGTAAATTATTTGTCCATTGAATGTACTCGATCAGATTTTGAAAGTTCCATCGATAATGATAAAGTGGCAACACATTAACGCTAACATCGATCTGTTTTTGAATTCTGATTACAGAATATTATTAATTAAATATGTTGCAACTTGCATGTCTGAATCACGATTGTAGTACATTTGACGTACATTTAACGTTGTTAGAAGTTCTAAGCTCGCCACCTCATAGGTACATCACACGTAGTAATTAAAGAATACGTTTGTATATAAGAGTATGTATACTTGGTTGTTTCCTTAGCGAGAAATGCGTGAGCGTCAGGTATCTGTACTGGGTATAATGGATAGACACGGTATTCGTTTTAATATCATTCGGATAGGAAAGAATGGACCACGCCAATTGGAGCTCTCATTTTGGCCAAAACGCATTTCTATGATCGAGACTGATAATGTAGAATGTTGAAAACATAGATCTGCTATTATTATTTTGTAAACTTTTGTAAATTTCGACGGCGAATATATATTATATGTATATATTTTAGACGGCTCTCCTTTGGAATTATAGAGTATATTAAATCTTGACATTGCTCAAATCGAAATTTTTATTAAGAGCCACACACTTATGATATATGCCGAATTTCGAATGTAAACATTGTGATTGTAAATTTCAAGTTGCTTATATATCTATATATTATAATTTATATATGTGTATTGAGTATTATTTAACAAATGAATGTGATATGTAAGTGAATATTGTTTGTTACTTGACAAGTTTCGGTACGGACACGGGGACGTGTGAAGCACAAAGTAGGCAGTAGAGAAGTGAAGTGTTACCGAAGGTGCTGAGCGGAGTGATCCTTACAGTAGTCCAGCGACGTTGCAGGCCGCAGGCTGCCACTCGTTGGTGGTTTCCACTTTTGTTTTTAATGAATGTGTCAAACAATTGTAATGGTTTCGATAATATGTACAAATTTCATATTTGTTTTATAAGTACATTTATGTAAATTTAATAATTATTCAGTAGTATTACAGAGCCGACGATTTCATCTACGATTTCACATTCATTAGGAGTAAATATGTTATAAATAATATTGTACGCTGCGCAAGATGAAAAAAACATTAAAATATGGAATACAAAACCGAGCCAGTATTTAAAATCCGGATTACTGTGTAGATTTTTTCTCATAAGTGCAATATCTAGCTGTAATGTTGACAAATATTCTAGCGAACCGTGTACGTCGCGTCGTGAAACTGCGAACAGACGATTTTGTTTCGTATCCTCTCAGATCCTTTATTTAGTTGCACATTTATAACAAAGCATGTACAGTATCCTTAATTATTGAAAGCTTTATTGCATCGCTTCCTGTTAGCTTCCGTGATGTTGATAGTTACTATAGGCGCAGCTGGGCTCGTCCCGGACCCCAGCGAGGCCCGCATAGATACCCCACACAAGAAACCCAAAACAATATTATGCTTTACTAACGTAATACTTACAATATTTAGATTTATGTCACAGGTCCAGGTTGTACTTTAGGATTTATCTTTCCCAATGTCGTTACCTAATTTAAGGTTTAGTAAGTTTAGGTGATCCGAAAATATTAGCTGTTAATAAATGTGTGCTATAAAAAGGTACCCTTACCGATTAATTTTATGTAATCCACTGGGCGTGGAATAGATTTCTATATAGAGTTGTTGGCACATTCCAATGCGATATTCAAGATATTGTACGTAATTATTACTGGTGACAGAGCCAGGGTCTAATTAATAGCAAGTTTTATTTTTATTTGCACTACAAACTAAGATATTTGACAGTGTGTATCATACCGGCAAAACTAAGCAACCATTGGTAGAATTCTTATTTAGTCCAGGGTTCTGGTCCTCCGCCGCGTACATGACACTGAAACAACTTTATGTAGAAATATGAATGTTTTTTAAAGTACATAAAGATATTTTTGTATGTTCAGGGTAGGAGTTGTGCAAGATGTACCATAAAAGTAATTTTGCTAGGACCTTAGATTTCATAGTTCTTTTATAGATGGTTAATATTATTTTAAAGTTTGCTTTTAGACGATTGATAAGTTTGTAATTTTTATTACTACGATATTAGAATAAATACTAACATTAAAACTAAACCAAAAGTGCCCATTGAGATAAGTTTATAATACGAGCGAGCCTTTTGTCCGGCATTTTGTTTAAAATAATGTTTAGGCAACAAAATTAGTGAATAAGGAAATTATGGAAGGATTGTTGAGTTTTAGTTTTCTAAAATTGTTGAGGTTTATTGAAAAAAAAATCTTTAATTTTTTTTACACGCAATGTTCGACAAAAGGCTCGTTTTTAGAGGCATTAATTAACATCAATAATAATAGTATCGATTTTAAGTAATGATAAGAATGGTTTTATTATAGTTTTGTTTCAGAGAAGAAATTCTAATTACTATTTTTGTTTCCAATATTTTATCACTTTTACCTGTTTTCATTGTAATGTATCTTGCTGTATTGCAGACATATCCAATATACAGACTGATTTAAGAAAGGGTTTTTTATTTTGATAAACTACCAATTAATGAGCAAGCCTTTTGCTTCCCTCTTTAACATTGAATTCGTAATGATTTATATACTTTTTTTAAGCATTTTTATATACTTCTAAGACTAGTGCCGGAAGGAGTTAAAAATAAACAGCGAATGGAATATCTATATTATTATGCAGTTTTTAATCAAAACAAAATAATAAAATAACGGAAATGTCGGTGCGACGAAATATACAATGTAAATAGATATTCAACAATCATAATAATCCTAAACCATTTATCACATTCCAAAATTACACCAAATGCCTATATGTGTAAGTTCTAGACTCGATTATATTACAATTATACTAAACAAATATTGATGAAACTGTCCATTTTGTTTTTGTTAGAAAAATTCAAAACAATATAAATATCTAGTAGCTTATAAATCGTAAGGATTTAGGACGACAAGGCTTTTAACTAATAGGGAATAAAGGTGATTTTTTTATAAGTTTTTTTCTTTCTTTGATTTCGAATTAAGCATAATATATTCATATTTTTTAATGTAATTTCTTTTTGATTAAGAAAATAATTATTAAGCAAATATAGGTGGGGAATTCAAAGTAGATGAATCGCAACGCCATTATTCAGATCGAATATAACGTCTATAAAATCTATACATATAATAAATTTCTAACCGAATCGAATATGTACATTAAATATTTTTTGGAAAATCTTATTGAAATAGTCATTATTATCGATATAGAGGCCGAATGTATACTTTATGAAATTTTTGTCTGGCTGGGAACGTATCACGTGATAACCACTGCACAGATTTTAATGAAATTTGCTATGATGTAATCTAGTTATCCTTAGTATTCCCAGATATAGGATACATTGTATTGCGAAAAAATTTCTTACCTTTGAGAAATCTTTATTAACCGTTAACATACCAATGCATACAAACAATACATAACATAGCCAGTGTTGCTAATAAGCGCTTTTGTCGGTAAAAATTGCTTAAGCAAAAGTCGTAATTTTCAGACAACGTCGCTAAATTAGCAACACTGGCTGTCATAGACTATGACGTCACGTTATGCGCGCGAAATAGCTGACGTTTAAAGCATCCGTCTCGGAGTTTTGGAACTGGATTTTTTTACCATTATATACTCATTGTGTACGATGTAAGCTATTTTATAATTAAAAATCACGCGTATTCCCTATTGAACATAATGTGATTCGACATCTATTTAGTAGGATTTGCTACTGTTTTTAGGTTTCCTTATAATTTCAACATTTATTAAATGTTGTCAACATCAATATTTTATACCTTCTAGTTATGCAGGAGAATTGCAACTTTTTTTTTATTATAGACATTTAATACATAATAATTATATAAATAAATAGACAATATATAATCAAAGACTTCTCAAAAGAGAATGTATTCATGGGTCTGACAGTTAATTTCTACGTTTGTGGATTTCTTGATTGATACATTTCTCAGGACAAAGTACTTGATATTTTTCTATACAATAGGTTAGAGGTTCCTTCTAAATAAATAACATTAAGTGTATTCTGAAGAGTAATTCTACATATAATTATTAATTAAATCAACTCGATTCGTGTTACATATTCATTTTAAATATAATAATTGTACAATTGGATGTTAAAAAGAAAATTTTGGCTTCTAAAAATTAAAAAATTGACGCAAAAGCTATCTGCATTTATTTACTTTTACTTATAAATAAGTAATTATTTTAATTTAAGATTTTTGCAATACTTAAGTCATTATTTTGAAGGCTCAATCTAACATATCGTATGTATCTACTAAAACAACATCAACATACAGATTATACATCATACAAATCGCTTAGATATACATATATTTATGTCAACCACCCAAGTTTTAGTAAAAAATGCATAGTTACAAACGCTAAATATGAATCCAAAGAATCTTCATAGTAGTCACTTCAAAGGATATTTGGCTCCTTTAATAAGTATATATAAATAATTAAGACGGATTTAATCATAACTTACTATACATTTAAACAAAGTGGAATATATTGGAAAGTCTTATTGAAAGTACACATTAATAACTAAATCGTGAGTCTGGGTGTGACAATTGTCGACTAGTTTGTAATAGTATGAACCATTCAACACTTATTAGCAAGTGGTCATGATAGTAAATCTAATACATATTTAAATGTATAAAATATGGACATATATCTGTAAAACCACATAGATTTCGAAAAGAAAAGCAATGTACAGTCAACAAGTCCAATGTATCTATACTACATATATTAGAAACACACTTCCCAGTATCGATGAGAACTTTTAAAATGCATCTCTGTAACTTGAACTAAGTCAAGATATACACTTAATTGAGTAAAGTATGTATAAACATGTAAAATGCTTTTAGGTAGAACTTGACGTGGGCTGCACCAAGTTTTGTTTTTTTTCAGCAATCCACGCGTGTATCCTCTCTTTCAGCTCGGTGTTCGACGTTACTTGGTCCATTGAAAGAGGAGAACGGTTGAACGGGTCCGACTGATCGCTTAGTAGATGCCTATAATCGTCATATACTTATTTAAAACTTGATAAAAGTAAATAGTAATTATTATTTTAGTCCTTCTAGAGTTAGTGACTTCAGTTTTATATTTCTCTTAATTTTTTTTTTCACACAGTAATGCTTAACGGATGAAATTCGGATTGAAGATACTTATAAATAACAGTAGACTTTTCTCGACATACTTATATTACAAATCACTATAGTACATAATACTACACTAGTACAGATACTTCATTCCATACAAAAAATTTGACAGTGTTAATTTGGGCTACTCTTCGGGCTATTTTTGTTTGCTTGAATAGTTAAACTGTTTAATATTACAAAATGCAAACGAACGGTGTAACAGGTGGTAAATATTGTAAAATTCATCCTGCATTCGAATAAAAAAAATCTGTGATTTTAGCTATTTTTAACCGCGATAAACAATTCATAAGAAGTAAAAGCGCCATCTGTGAATATGCTCTAAAAACCCACCATCTGATTGCTGATATTTCAATAATTAATCAGTAAAATTACGCAAATTCGATTTATGGACGATTTATTATTTCACTTCATTTACAATATTTTTTAAAACAATACACCTTTTTGGGATCTATTGTCTTATCTTTTACTATTTTAATACTAACAACAAATCGATTTATGTAACGTCATTTATTGACATTTATTTGATCTATTTTTTCTTTGTTCGTGATGTGACCTATATCAAACAAGCAAAAACGCAGGTGAAAACTACTAATATCGAACTGTTTAAAAGCGAATTATACGTGTGTATGTTTGTTACTCCTCCACGCTGAAGCGGCTGAACGAATTAAAATGATTTAATAAAAAAAAATAGACTGACTTGGAGTTGGAAGACGTATATACTGTTTTCCACTTAACGACGCGTCTGAGGAAAGCAAGGACAAGTCTCTAGTAATAAATAAGAGAATCGTACCTAGCAATAGTAGTCCGGTCCACAGTGGTCCTCGAGCTGGGCAAGATGACGGGATCCAGCATGATGGTGCTCATGATGGGGTCGAGGAAGTCTTCGGGAGCATTCGCGAGGATCTCTTCATCCCGCTGGCGTTGCTCAGCGAAGAGCGCCACTCGAGACGCTACCTCTTGCAGCGATGTGATTAAACCGCCACCGCCGATACGTACTGGAAGAAAAGTCGTTATTGTTATATCTATGGACTCCAAAACGGCTGGAGTGATTTTGATGAAATTTTGTATAAATGTGTAAGTGTCTACCTGTTTGCGGCTGTTTGACCGTTCTTAAAATAGGTAAGGAATTCGTATATATTTTTACATTTTAACTACTATCATCTGAGATTATATGATCGGCGATGTTTGCTATTTTTAACCAATAACCTCCAAAACGACGACGACGATAAAACGTCAAAACGCGATCCTTTCGGGGTTTTGTAATCTGTGGCAGATTGCTATTGTACATATATATACATTTAAATTTAAATCGATCGTGCATTAACTTCGACTTCATACATAAGTGTCTTCGACTTCATACATCTTTGGTGGCAGCACTTTGCACTATGTGCATTCTTTATTTAGAGAAATTCTCTTTGGCTTTGTATAAGATTAAGATATCAAAGTTTTTTAAAAAGAAATGTTTATTACAGAATACACAAATATTATTTGAAGCAGTGAAGCAATAGCTTTAAATGTTTATTCTCCTTACAGGTTAATAATCTGTACTTAAGTGTATAAGTCGTGTTTGAAAAAGTAATTTGTTATATAAAAATAAAATAAATAATTTCTCTTTATAGAGCAACAACTTTGATTTTTGTTTCAATAAAAAAACATATTACATATATATATTTATCAATTTAAAAAAATCAGGGTTTCAGGATTAAAATTAAGTTGTTTAGAGAATTTATGTAGGAATTATTATACATTGGTTAAAGGTGTCAATTACCTAACAATAAATATAAAGAAATTTTTACTACAAATAAAGATTATTATTATTATATCTTTATATATATAATTCTTCTGTGAGTGTGTATGTCACTGAACTTCTCTCAAACGACTGGACCGATTTTGATGAAATTTTTTGTATGTGTTCAAGGGGATCTGGGAATGGTTTAGATTCACAATTTGAATAATAATTTTCATCAAAAAAAAAAGTTTGAAATTTTCAAATTAAAGACGTGTAGACAGGACAACGTCTGTCGGGTCCGCTAGTTATTATATAAAGAGATTCAGTGAACGACGCTAACCCAACACAGCCTCGGCGAGGGTGAACAGCTGCGGCGAGTACGAGCGGCCGTCGTCGGACACGGCGGCGCAGAAGCGCTGGTTGCCGCCCAGCTCCACGTACATGCGGCAGATGTCGAGCACCGTGTTCGCGGGCTCGAACTCGAACTCCTTCATATCTTTCACCTGAATTATTTAGGTTATCCTGTTATTTATATACAGGCTACATAATTACCTCGGTGGTCTAGTGGCTAGCATATACAACCGCAGATCCGGAGGTGCTGGGTTCAAGTTCCGGCTGTGTGCCTTAACTGGTCATGTCGAGTAGTTATCGCATCGGAGTATGAGAGTACCAGAAGGTGAATAATACTAAGGTTGATGATACGACGACACTAGAAATACTCTCATCAAGATAAGTTTTATTTCTATTAATATATTTGTTTTTCTCTCGCTTTAATTGACATGGCTTTCTGTGTTTAAAGAAGATTTTTTTTAATATCTGATTAAATCGGGTATATCCAAAAAGTCTAATACAGTAGCTGGTTTTATGTATTACCACATAAAACGTATTAGGACATCATTAGTAATTGTACACTCAATGGAAACCCATAGACGTGAGATATATTTACTATTTAGTATGACAATTAAAACCGAGCAAACCTTAAAATTTTTCTTATTGGGTCCCACAAGATGCAGTAAAAAGTAGTTGAGCATGGAGGCGATGCGCTCCACCAGTGTGGGGTGGCAGAAGACGTAGGGCGCGTGCGCGGCGAGGCGCACCAGCGTGCGCACGGTGTCGCGGCCCAGGATGTTGTCGAAGCGCGCCAGCATGCCCACGTGCGACAGGTTGGCCAGGTTCTGCTCGCGCTCCTGCGCCGGCAGCGACGCCCACGCACCGGACTCTCTGTTGTTGGGTGGTTTCTTTATTAAGTACCTGGGCGACCAAGCTTCGCTTGGTGTTCTTTTTTGTTATATCGTATTTTAGACATCAAAGAATAAAATAAAAACTTGAATAAACACAAAGATAAACAATCCCACCGGGATTCGAACCCGGACACCTGTGCTTGTCAATCTCATGCCTTGACCGCTTGACCACATTGCTTATGCTCCAGCGTGTGAAATTAGCGACCATATTTTGCGTGGCATAATGCGAGAGAAAACCACATGAAAACTCAAAATCACGCGTTTTCCCAGAGACATAAGACTAATCTAGATCGATTTTCGCCCTCGAAAACCCCCCACATACCAGCTGTTTCCGAGATCGCCGGTATAAATAAATAAATATACAAGAATTGCTCGTTTATTATATATTAGGTGAAAACTAGTATTCACACTGTTGAGTCATGGGGTTTCATCACGAACAAAGAAAAATTCGTTCAAATTAATGTCAACAGATGACGTTACATGTATCGATTTGTTTACAGTTGTGTTAAATTAACCAAAGATAAAAAAATAGATCCCAAAAAGGTGTATTATTTTTTTTTTAAATATTCTAAGTGAAGTGAAATGAAATAATAAAATTTGCGTAATTTTACTGATTATTGAAAATCAAAAATCAGATGATGGGTTTTAGTGCATATTCACAGATGGCGTTTTTACTTTTTATGAATTGTTTATAACAAAAATTATCAAAATCACAAAACAAAATCGAATGCAGGACTAAATTTACAATATTTACCATTCGTTAGCTTTCGCATTTTTATAAAATAAAACAGTTTAACTGTTTGCGAATCAACAACACGCATTATCTATTCAAGCAAACAAAAATAGCCCGAATTAGAGCTGTCCAATATTTTTTTTATTATGTGATCTGTGGTTGAGCCAAAGAGAGAGAGTAATGTCTATTTGTCTAGCATCTACTCTTATTGTGTTGTAGCGTCTGAACTAAAACGACTTTAAAGACAATAGATCATCTTTATATTATTATTGTATGAGAAATAGCACTTACACACTATATAAGGGTCAAATTTGTTCACACAAATACAGTGAAAACTCTAATATATTATCTATTAACAACCAATAAAAAACCCAAAAATATTTACATTGTTATAAAATTAATATTGCTATAGATGACAATACTATACCAAAGAAATTGGACAGGGCTAACTTGAGCTATTCTTCAGACTATTTTTGTTTACTTATAAAGATAATAGATGTCATTATTCCGCAAATATACGGACTTGTTTATTTTATGAATATATGCAAATTAAAATTTGACAAATATGGCAAAATTCATTCTAAAATTAATTTATGCGTAATATGAACGATTTTATTTTAAGAACCTCTTTTTTTTTCGTTGACCGCTTCACGTGAAATGTCCCAAATTTTAGCGATTTTGACAGTTTTTAACACGGTATAAAATTACGCAAATTTGATGTAATAAAATAGCCTTTAATTTCTATCTAGTAAGTGATTTACATAATTTAAAAAAAGTATGTACGAGCATATTATTTCGTTATCGTTAATTTAGTTTTTTTTTAAAACAGTATATACCACAGCTTTAATCAATTTAACACAACTAAATTACTAATTTGTTCCTTATTTACATAAAATTCTGTTAATTTCAGTAAATAAATAATATAAATATTGTACTAACTGCGCTGTCTGCATGGTGCGTATCTGCGCCATGTTGCCGAGGGCCTCGTCCAACAGGAAGATAGCGTCGTTAATCAACAGGTTGACGAAACGGAGGAATAATGGTGGATGTACCGCCTCCATGTTCGCTTCTGCTTCCTTTGCCAGGCGTCTAGAAATATGTAGGAGAAGAAACACCATTCACTAGGTTAGAAAGTGGAGACTATTGAATTTTGAACTTTAATACTCAAAAATTTGATCTCTTTATTATTTTACGACAATAAGAATATTATAACAAGTATAATAACATTAACCATTTTTGTAAGCAAAAAATAAAATTAAAATTATAAAAAGACAAGTTGTGTGTACAGAATCTACAAAGTGACAAAGCTATGATTTATTCCAATTTATAATATATAGTGGTTCCTTTATGATCTAAAAGTGAAGAGGGCGACAATAAACGAAACATTTTTTCTTATATATACTTACTAATATTATTTTTGCTATAAATAAAACTTACGTGAAAGCCTCTCTATGTTCTTCACTGTTCCACAAAAAGTCCATGACGAGATACATAGGACGGCGGTAGTTAAACTTTTGCTCAAATTGTACGCTCTGCCCTGTCATTTCGATCCCCACGAACACGTCCAGAAGGCAGGGGACGAGCTGATAAAACATTAATTATACAAATGACAAGAAAAAATAACTCCAGTTACCGATATATTTTAATTTTTTTAAAGTAATATAGGTATTGTTTGACATTAAAATTAATATAATTCTATTACAGAACTGTACAACATTCAATAGAATAAAAGTAAGTGATTTACATAAAACATTCTCGAATAGTATATAAAAAGACTTTTTCACTTATAATAGTGAAAATAATTAAGGAAAACCTTTTAAAGACTTACTTTATGAGACATTTTATGACTTATCATTGATATACTAAAATCCAAGATACACAGACAGCGTCTCAAAAGTGACCTCAAAAAAAGAGCGCTTATATCGAACTTTAGAGCGGAGCGGACACCCGAAATATCGTTGTCACACACGCAAAATAGGCGCATAGTCGTCTAGTTGCGGAAACTAACCCAAACATGTCATACCATAACACACACCAAAGTGTCGTTACAAAAATGTAAAAATAGCACATATAGTACCTTAAAAATTATAGAATATTATATTATATAAGTAAAAATGTTAATGTCGATATGTTTTTATAATACATATACATATTACTAAATATAACGAGGATTATTGTGTTTTACCATACCGCTCGAGATTATTTGACAAATTTTAATGGCCGTTTATTTGCTATAAGAACATAATTACAATCATCTCCTTACTTAGTTGACTAATAATTCTCTGTTTATATTTAAATGGAGTAGTTATCGTTGGGCACTTTTTATGTTTTTTTTATTTAGCGCTAATTTAATTTATTTAAATATGTTTAAGTAAAGAAAAAAAAACCTGTTTTCATTTATAACGAAAATTTAATTATTTATTTTTTTATTTGGAGGGGAATACATGGAACAAAACGCAGGTTGTTCCGTTTAAAAAATAACTTTATGTGGTGTGCGTAAGTTCGAATTTGTGTTTAGGCAATTGTTAATTACGATTTTTGGATTTTATTTTTTAGTTTGACTTAACGTCACACATCGACGCCACTTTTTGAAGACACATTTTTTAGGGACTGTGCATCTGGGTTTTTTATGTCAATGCTTACGATATGAAAAGATATGTACATAATATGTGCACAAGTAAAATAATTAAAGTTACCTGTAGCCTATGTGGATGTTCTTTAAACAACTGTTCCCTATAAAAGGAAGCCATATTGCTAAGCGGCTGTTGGTCATCTGGGTGGTTGGGCAACATCGCCTCGAGGCATTCCGCTAGACGAGCTCTAAAATACAATGTATTATGTCTTAAAATGATTATTTTTAATAAATATCTATCTATAATGATAAAAATAATTCAGACTTCATATTTTGAGGAATTTAAACTTTCCTTAATTTCTGATTTTAAATGTTTTGAAGGCAAAAATAAAAAGTTGAAGATATCTCGCCAGAGTAATTGCTAACGTAAATACTTTAGGAGATTACGCAGACACAAGGTGCATTGTCTATTCCTTTTCCTCTTAAAGTCTGGTGAGACAATATTTCGACACGACCGGTGAGAGTTAAGGCACAAGACTGACGGCTTTACGTACTCTGTGAGGCACGGGGGTGAAACACCGCCACCTTTCCAACTCTGGGCTACTACTGAGAATATCTTAACAGAAACACTCAGTAATTAAACTTGGCCCGACCTGGGATTCAAACCTAGGACTCCGGATATGCAATCGTACGTGCTACTCACTTGACCCACTGAGGCAGTAAATAATTAATAGCACATACCTCAGATGCGGGTTGTATGTGCGCGTGGAGTCGCCCATGAAGGTGAGCACGAGCGTGAGCGCGGGCTGCAGCAGGCCCGCCGTGTCCGCCTCGTCCGTGATGGCGCCCACCGTGCGCCGCGCCATCGTGATCAGCACCACTATGTTCTCCAACACGAACTCCGGGACGCATCTGGTGTTTGCGACATTTGTTTTTTTTTTAATTGTTAACATTATTTTAAATAAAACTATCTCTTCAGATTATTTCGCGGATTTATTTTGATTTTTGGTTCCCGACGTTTCAAATGCTTTACAGCAGTGATGGGCAAAGTACGGCCCGCGGGCCAACTCCGGCCCGCGAAAGTAGTTAATCCAGCCCGCCGTTGGTCCATCGACATGGATCGTCGATATGGTCCGCTATAATTACGTTTTGACGGTCGAGAAGAATCTGTATAAAGTAGATTCTACTTAGGGCCGATTGTTCAATCATCGAATAACTGAACAAATAACTAACTAGCGAATTAACTTACTGATAAAAGAATAAATAAAATTGTTGCATTTTTCAATGGCCAGATAACAAGCGAATAGTTAGTTATCTGTGGATTTTAGTTGCAAACTTCACTGTAATATTGTGGAAGCCTGAAACACGCATACGGTGTAGTGTATGTTGGAAGAGGATAGCTAACGCTTTGATATTTGTTTGTTTGACATTTACTGTCAGTTAATTTAACTGTTAGTGAGTATAACTGTCAGTTAGGTTGACTGTCAGATTAATTAACGGCTAGTAAGTTTAACTGTCAGTTAGTTTAACTGTCTGTTCGTTTAACTGTCAGTTATTTTAATAGCTAGTAAGTTTAACTGTCAGTTAATATAACTGCCAGTAAGTTAAACTGTCAGTTAGCTTGACTGTAAGTTTATTTAACTATCAGTAAGTTTAACTGCCAGTTTGATATACTGTCAGTAACGTTAACTGTCAGTTAGATTAACTGTCACATTGATTAACGGCTAGTAAGATTAACTGTCAGTTAGTATAACCTACAGTTAGTTTAACTGTCAGTTAGATTAACAGTAAGTTAGATTAACGGCTAGTTAGTTTAACTGTCCGTCAATTTTAACTACCAGTAAGTTTAACTGTCAGTTAGATTAACTGTCAGTATGATTAAGGGCTAGTAGTATGAACTATCAGTAAGTTTAACTGTCAGTTAGATTAACTGTCAGTTTGATTAACGGCTAGTAAGATTAACTGTCAGTTAGTTTAACTGTTAGTTTGATTAATTGCTAGTTAGTTTATCAAACTACTAGTTTATTATTACACACAAGTCTAATGCTGTAATGTTTTTATAATATTATGATTTATAATATTATGCTTTAACACAAAATGCATTTTTTCTATAATTCTGGCCTCCTCTACAATTTCTTAAACTTTGTGCCTCCGATTCCCCCCTCCTCCCAGATTAAAATAGTTTGTCCACCACTGCTTTACAGCAATCATGGTCAAGGGACCATGATTTTGTGTATTAAAATCTATACTAATAAAGAGGTTTCTTAAGTTTGCATCTGACGTTATTATTGATTACTGTTATTGGTCGGATTCTGAAAATTCTTTTATTATTAGGAAGCTACACTACCGCCGAGTGCTTTTAAGTTATTTTTTATTCTGATAAAAACTGAAGTCGGGACACCACGCATTCGAGCGAAGTTAGTGTAACAAGTATCAAATACATATTTGCTATCTATCTAAGAAAGCTAAGTTACCTCAAGGTATCGGGTGGAGGCGTGGTGACGGGTATGGTCAGCTCCATGAGCGTGGCGGGCATGTAGGCGGCGCGCGGGCCGGCGTCCGCGCGCACCGCCACCTGCACCAGCCACGTGCACGTGGTCGCCTGCAGCCGGTGCAGGTTGGTCAGCATCTCACTCTCCAGCAGCGCGCAGCGGAGACTCACGAACCTGTTGGATACGGGAGAATTGTTTGATATGCATACATACTGTTGTCATAAGAAAGAAGGCCGTAACTAACAATTTGGTCAAAAATGACTTATATGCAGATTCGAAATCAGCAAAAAAATGCTACTTGATAGTCTTACTCATAAACCTCTAAAGTCTTATGATTATGAATCCGGAGGTACGGAATTATAAGGATTTTAATCGTAACTACATCAAAACTAGTAGTAATTTTGGCGTAGTAGTAAGACAAAACTTCAAATATCTTGAAATCAACTTTGACGAAGTTATGGCCTTCTTTCTTATAACGGCAGCATAGTGCTATATTCGATAATGTTGCAGATTACTAATCCTTCCAGTCTCAGTCGGTTACACCCGGGAAAATAATCGATGGAGTCATTTATATAAAAAAAATATGTACGAACATTGAAATCACAATTTTTCAGACTAGGTGTTACACTTAATCGGATGGCTCTCGAGACTGCACCATGCATCCTCTATCAACACTAAGTCGACTAATCAAGGTATCTAAACAGGGCTATCGTTGCGCCCCATCTGTCATATGTAGGTACATTTATATGACATACATACATCCTCCTTTTCTACGCAAGTGGAGTAAAAATAACAAAACCCACCACATATTTACAGTGCCGGATTCAACCTTACCGCCGCCCATGGGCATAGTAAAAAATACCGCCCAACTATTGAAATTTTATATAAAATGGATAAAATTTCGATAGTTTTTTTTTTTAAATTTTAATATATATTTTTTTAAACGGACAAAAAAAATATAAATGATTTAAATATTTCGAAAAATGTACTAGTAATTTTTTTAATTATCATTTTTTTGGAAATACAAGATTTAGATAAGAGATTTTTTTCCCACCCTCCGAATTTTACCGCCCCTAAAAATTTGCCGCCATGGGCACTAGCCCCGAGTGCCCCTAGTGTAAATCCAGCATTGCATATTTACTTGGTCATGAGAAAGCGCGCGCGCTGGCGCAGCGGGTCGAGCATGTGGTGCGCGGCGGCCACGTCGGCCAGCGCCCGCTGCGCGCGCCCTAGTTCCTGCCCCGTGCGATACAGCTTCTCTGCGCACACTCGTACACCTGGAAACAAATGTTATAATAATTTATTACTACATGTATTTACTATTTATTTGTATAAGAGTATTTTAAACAACTGACAATCTGCACTTTTTGTCTTTTTATTATATATTGCACACACAATAAAAAGACAATAAAACAAAATAAAAGATATCATTTCTTCTTTTTTTTAATATTCAGCAGTTACCAGTTTGGATAGCAAAGCCTAAATCTAGGCAAATATAACTCATTTATAATTGAAATATTATACCATACCTAGATCGATGCATTTATGGGTCATATAAAAACATTCAGTAACAAAGGTGTATGTATCAGCAGTGGGCCGCTTAATAGTCTGCCCATCTTCAGTTTCCCGCGGTGGTAGTAAGCAAGTTTCATTATATAGGCAATCCAGATGTACTGATTTAGCAGCACACTCTTCAGGCTGTTAATAATTATAAATATATTATTTAATTATGTTGGCTGTTAAAAATCATAAATACGGAAAGGTTAAATGATATTAAATTAACAATTCTTGTATATATATAAATTTATTTGGTGTATCTCGGAAACAGCTCTAACAATTTGGATCAAATATATACAATAGGTACGATTTTGATTTTTAGGTTTATCTATATAGATGTCTTTTTTGAAAAAACGCAATTTTTATATCTTATCCAAAAAACGCCGACCAAAACTCGGTCGCCCAAGTACTATCGTTTATGTAGGCAAACTTTATAAATTATTTACACATACTTTATAACAAACTAGTGACACACCCTCGCTCCGCTCGGCTTCGTCCCTGGCTTAATTCCCCATACAAACTTTCGCCCCCATTTTCAACCCCTTAAGGGATGATTTCCGGGATAAAAAGTCTATTATATTCTATGTCCTTCGCAGGGTCTAAAACTATCTTCTTACCAAATTTCATCTAAATTGGTTCAGTAGATACAAAGATTATCCTCTACATCGTCACAAACTCATAAACTCATAATCTCACAAACTCACAAACTTTACCTCTTTATAATATTAGTATAGATAAAGAGTATTTTAATTTTTTAAAGAAAGATACTATGAGAATATTTTAATTAAATACATACTGTTACTGCACCATAAGTGGGATCAATCTTTAATGCCTTTGGATCATCTGCTTTCGTGCAAAATGGTTGGCACAGATGCAACAGCACCGCACCAAGGTTCACCATGAAACCATCAGATACACAAGTCAATGTTGTAGTACTCATTTCACCAGCCTGTAATACAAGTAGTTTTTTTATCCATTATAACATGATCATAATACAATAAAAAAGTTAAACGTTCTATTTGTTCTATATTTGAGGAAACAAACTATCTTGTAGGATAGAAATCATAATAATATTTTATGAATTCATTTATGAGTCCACTACAACCTGTTCCTTAAAACTACAGTAGTGCCTGAGGAACCACATAATATTGTCATTCAATTTTGTAAATCATAAGTGTCATCGGCATTGATTTAACATACTTAATATTTTTTATCTAATTCATATCAAGGCATAATAGTACACCAGTGCCAGTCCAGTCACTTATCTCCTATGTTTTTTTTTGAGATAGACATTTTATAGTTATATGTTATATAAGATGGTCCTTTAAACTACCTATACCTATTATAAACACATTCCTAATTTTCTATAAATACCTGAACATTCCATAACTTTCCTCTTGCAACATTGGATTTTAAACATTTCCCGATCCATGATAATAATCTATTTTTTAGTTGTGCTCCACCTCTTAATAGGGCTAAGAATATTTTGTGCATGTTGTTTGTAAGATGTGATGTTGCATTCCAAACTGAACTTTCTATAAGCGAAGTAACTGCCTGAAAATAATTTTTTTAATAAAGCTTGTTTCTATCGTATGTTAGAAATACCTTCGTGCATATTTATTCAATAGAATACAATGAAATAAACTTTAAGTTATGTTGACAAATTTATAATGTAAAACAATTAATGAAAATACCGTTAATCATAACGCTTATATACTATAAATAATAATTACCTGATCCAAGGGATTTTCAAAAAATTCATGTAATGCTGTTCCTGTCCGAGGTAGTACCGAGAGATTTAATAGGGCACCAATTACAGTGTCTTGATATTTCCTTCCATGACTTTCCATCTTCGGCTCACAAGCATCCATTAATATAGGAGCTAAGTTTGGATTGCCTTTAGGGATAAGCAGTTTATAGTGGAATCTTTAATACCATACTCAGATAGTTGCATGCAAATGTATATTACAATTACTACTTACTTGCAAAAAGTTGTATTGATGGTAAAATATATATTGGTAAATTGATTAAATTAGAATTATTTATATCTGTATGAATTCTTTGTAGAACAGGTATCATTGTTTCCTTTAACTGTGATTGACACTCACTATCCCCTAAAAATATTATAATATTAATTTACAATATATCTATAGTATAAAAATAACACTTTATAAATAAAATAATAAATTACCATCAGATACAAATGCTTTGATCAAGTCATTAAAAAATGTATGACTTTGAAGACCACCATGTTGCAAGATAGCTACTAGTTGGAAAGAAAAGTCTTGTCCTTCAAATAAGGCAGGTTGTTTAAGTGCTGTTACCGCATTTCGAAATATAAGTTCCATCATTTTATCTAATGCATTTTTAATATATGGTTTTTCACTAAGATTGTAGCTTTGGATGTTCTCCATAGAACTAAATAAATATGGAAATACGTTTTTTTGGATGACATGATCCTTAAAACTTGTGATAGATTTAGGTATAACACTTTGTTCTATATCTTGTAACAGTAATCGCTCAAAGAGAGCTTGTTCCAAAGCTTCCAAATCAATGTATATTCGTGGGTTCAAGGCTTGGGCTAGTTCTTCAAGATACACCAACTGCCTATCTGCTTCTCCTTTCACTGCATTGGGATTTATGGTGAAGTGGAAAACATCTTCAACAATACTATTTATTGTTTTGATTTTCTCATTCTCCTGTGATTGGTTCTTATTTAATAGCTCTGGGCTTTCATTAGCTTCCTGGTTATTTGAAGATTTAACTTCTGACACTCCTAACAGACCAGCAAATGGGTTGGAATCAGACATTGTAATTTAAATTTTTTATTGTAGAAAATGAAACAATAACAATTATATGACCACAATATATAAATATTTTACATTGTTAATGGAACTATATGCAGTGCAGCTTCTTCCAAATGTATTCCATTAACAAAACAAATCTTAATTGACCATTCACAAAAACGCTGACTGTAAAATTTTAATTTCGTTATCACAAACTTGATAAAGATTGAACTGTCAACTGACACTGTCAGACTGACGATGAAAAATTGATCTTGACATTTGAGTAAAAAATAATTTCAACTGCATCTAAAATCAGAATAATACTATTTTAAGCTTAGAACATTTTAATTATAACACAAAATATGTTTTAAAATTGTAGAGACTTGGTTAATCATGTTTAATGATATTTCTGTATCTTCTTGCTTTTCTTCTCTTATGTTACTCAGATTCATAAAATATGTAATTTATAAGCAAACATATTAGGTGCTCTTAAAATAATTATATTTGAACTGATTTAAAAAAGTTACATAATTTAATTCTATGTAAATAATTTATATTATCTACATTAATTATACTACAAGCATACATGTGTCATTCATTTTGTCGAAAAGTATAGGAAATAGCTGTTTTCAAACTTTTTATTATAAAATAACATTATATTCTATAAAAAATGATAGATTTCAAAAATAAATATGAAATAAATATTTACTTTGAGTAATTTAGTTTCCTAATGTTGAAAAGTTAGATTTATATGAAAATTGGGAGCTATTTCCATCAAATTTGGCTTAATTTTATTTCTTTGGTAGCATTGTAACTATCTTAGCGCTATCAATATCCGTGTTAAAATAAGGAACTAAATTATCACAAAACTTGCTTTTGTTTCGCTGCAGTCGTCGTCCGAATTCGAAATCAATAATATTGCGTACTCGATTTGTTACGTCGTCTTTATGCAGCAATGCTATGAAAGAATTCTATTACATGGCGTATAGTAGTCGCACATAGTGAATTGTTCATTTAATGTAAGATTGGTAACACTTATATTATGTATTTACTTGTTAGGCCATATTTAATCAGATGCGTGTCCCCTATATTTTTATCGCATAAAGTGCTTGGTCTGCTCAATTTGTCACACATGTGCAAATGTACTGCTACACATATTTTTCAACAAAATCCTGATTTTTATAACTTAAATTTTGAAAATCATAAAAACATTGCTGACTAAAATGATTAAAATGGCGTCTGCTACTTGGTGCACCATTTTATAATTATAGTTGCATATTGATATATATTGACATTTTTGTATGAAAAATCTGTATAGTTGCATGAATTTACTTTTTTATCAGGGGATAGTATTAATAAACATACCTATTTATAATTTTATAACTTGTGTTAAGGAAATTAATGGTGATGGTTAATCGCTTTAATATTGAAAGTTTTGAGACTATTCGAACATTACTTTCGACATAACATTTTTTCATAACATTATTTACTAGTAATAATGCTACCTATTAAAATTGGTAGGATAAAGTCGCGATAGCTATACGCCAATAACGTAAGTCGGTGCAAATGTGTGAGTGAGCGTTGTACGCGTGACCTCGAAAAAGGAAGGACAAATATCTTGCTGTTCTAGAAGGCTGACGTCATTTATATCGTGGCGAGCGAGAGCGCAACGCACAGCAACTAGCAAGACATTGTGAAATGTGAACGGCCACCCACTGCTTGCATATCTACTTGTATTACTACTAATTTACTTGAAAGTTGTGGCTATGAACAGTTAGTCTATTGACTTCTGCCATATATGTTAAATCCATTACTGCGCAATTATTTTTAATTTGTGATTCTGGAGATTCATTCTAATGACAATTGTTTCGACGCATATTAGGTATAGTATAGAGAATATCGAAAATTGCTCTCGCTTGAACATGATAAACATATTTTAAATGCGTATAACTGCGTATTGAAAATTGAGTTAAAATTGTTTACAATTGTATTATCCAAAACATCTTATTGCCTATATAAATAGGGCGTCAGTCTTCTATATAAATGGCAATATATGTATGTGTGTGAGTATAAAAACATCAGTGTGCAATCGTGCTAAGCAAAGTACTTTTAGTTTAATGTACCTACACTCAATTTTATTTGGTAACAATATTCTATTTATAAAATTATGGATTCTTTTGATAATTTGTGAGATTTATATAATTTGTACATGAGAAAAGTATATTTTTTGTTTGGTCGGATTATACGATCATGGCGGCCGATTTACGTCTCGCCTATACTTGTGTGACGTAATGAACATTTATAAGGAAAATATTTTAGTAATACTTGATTTAACTTAAAATCAAGTTAAATTTCCTAGTACAATTAGATTTTATGGCATTTAGTGACCACATATACCTAGATGTACTTAACTTTCACTCTAAATCAAAACAATATATCAGTCATTGAACCAATTTATTATAGGTTATCCACCCAATTTAACTGTATGATACTAATATGATAACTTTACTATATTTGTTTTTTTTTACAAATGAAATATGACTTTACAAAACCTTATTTTTCTGTAAAAAGCTGTACATACATATAGGATGCACTGACAGCTTTATTTTTAAATTTTCTTTGTTGTTCATTAAGGTCATAAAATCAGGTTAAGGTTATATACTGATAATTTGACTTTTGATACTGCTATGAAAGAAATATTTCAAAGAAATGAATATATTTGCGCTCATACCGTTGAAAGACGGTTATTGATTCTTATAAGGACGCGTATTTCGTAACATTGGGAAACTTTTTTTTTCTAAGTAGATAATATTTTTTTTTGAATTCATTAAATAAAATATATTACACCATCAATGTAACGATGTACCTAATTACAACCAAGAATGTAATGATGTAATTACATATGGTATTTATTAATAAAATAACTAATTAGCTTTTGTAATTAAAATAAATATTATCATGTTTTGGTATATTTGAATATATTAATCGCTTTATTATCTCACACAATCGTATGATAAGAAAATGATATTGACAAATAATACTTTTCTAAATTCATTTAATGTAAGTAATTAAGATATTTTAAACTTAATTTTGATTTTCTTTTTTTCTCAATTTCAGTGAAAGCTTCAAAATGACGGATCCAGCAACAAACACAGATGATTTAGAAGACGGAGAAATAGAAAGTGATGGTGAAGAAATCAATGAAGTACAAAAAGAAGAAAAGAAACAAGAACCCGCGGCAGAAGATGAAGGTAACAGGGGTCAAGATAAAACAGATACACAAAATTATTACCATTCAAAATCAGGTAAGAAAAAGAAATCAAAATCTAATAAAAGTGAACAAAAAATTAAAGATAAAAGTAAAAAAAGTCGAAAGTATGCGGATTCAGTCGAGGATGATTTCGCTGGTAATATTGAAAAAGCAATAAGAAAAGCAATGAACAAAGCTGACGGTAATGAAACACAACCTGACGAAGATGTAGAGGAACGACGAAAACATAAGAAACGTAAGAAATATGACAGTAAGGATGGGCCAAGTAAAAAACGCAAAAAGCAAGATTACTCTGATGAAATGGACGAAAGCGAAATGATGTGTGTAAGGGGAGCTTCGCCTGTCCAAAAGCAATCTCCTAACGAAATGTATCAAGATGATGATAGGGATTCATATGACTCCGAAAGCAGTCACGATTCCCGAGGTCATCAATCACATCGACAACAAAGACATAGGCCGCCTCAGCGCGAGCGAAATAAAAATAAAAATGATAGGAGAAGAGGGGGAGGGGCGCACCCAATGCAAGATCCCGATGGTGTCTGTTTATATTATATGCAAGGAAAATGTCATAAAGGTGATGATTGCATTTACTCTCACGATGCTCAACCCCCAAGAAAAATGGAATTGTGTAAGTTTTATCTAATGGAATGTTGTGCAAAAAGAGATAAATGTTTATATATGCATGCAGATTTTCCATGTAAATATTACCATACTGGGCTTCCTTGTATATATAAAGATGATTGTAAATTTGCACATGGTAAACCATTAAATGATGGTTTAAAAAACATATTGCTAAAGCATATTGAATCAGCGCCTAAAGAGATTTTAGGGGATTTTCCCAGGTTAAATAGAGAAGGAGCACTCAAAATGATTCAAACTACACAACTGAAGTTAATGCAACAATTCTCAGAAAGTACTGATAATAATCAATCAAGGAATAATATTCCATCGCTTTTTGATTTAAATATACCGAATCCACAAATTAATTCTGATGCACATCACGGTAATCAATTTAATAATGAAAGACAGACAAAAGTCTCGCCTAAAGTGCGACAATCGCGGTGGCAAAATGATTCGAGTCAAAATTCAAGTTTATCTCCAAATAATAGCAATATGGGTAACACAAACGTTTTAAGTATTAAAAATTTAACCGGTGTATTAGCACCTCGACAAATTTCGAGTCTAACTAAAATGGGCATAGAGAATTTAGATCAATTGGGCCAATTGACAGTATTACAGCTAAATAGTATCGGTATTTCTTTAAAACAAATAACCGAAATTCAACTCAATACAATGAGCATACAAAAATTAGGCTTAATTAATAATGTAGAGCAACAAAATCCTTTATTAGGATCTAACGCAGCTCCAAAAGATCTAGATTTGAGAGTACCACCTGCTGCGCCTGTACCGAATAGTGTAGCGATATCCTCTGAATTACCCGGGCAAGATGTTGATATGCGTTTTCAACATAACGTCACTGCTGTAAATAATGATGAATCATCTAATAAAAATGCAAAAATAGATACAAACATTAAGGATATGATAGATATAGATCAATATACAAAAGATGCGTTGAAATTTGCTTCAAAAGATAAGGAAAATATCGATATCTCAAATGAATCCCTAGACGCCGAAAAGAGTAATCCATTAAACGAAGTAAAAGACGTTGATCATAGGGTTTTACCATTTCCAGATGATGATTCTAGTATCCGTAGGTCTAATGTTGAAGGAAATTCATTACATATTGAAGGTGATACAGATATTCGATTTTTACAGCCGGAACCGATTTTCAAAAACCCCGAAAAGCGGAATCGTCGCTCTACCACAGACGACGATGAAGATAATAATTTATTAATTGATGAAAAATGGTACTCTAGTGATGAAGAAAAAGGTAATAAGAAAAAGTCATCATCATCACCTAGTTCGTCACCTCAAAAAGCTTTTATGTCACCGCCATCTTCTACACCTACAATCGAGCCTTCATCTTTCTTAAGTAAACTCGGTGACATTTCAAAAATTGATATTAGTGAAGAAGTCACTAAGTTGTTAAATACGATGAAGAATAACTTGCATGAAAACAAAGCAAGCAATGAAGTACAAGAGCAAACTATATCAAGAGATCCGCGATCAAGACGTTCTCCTGTTAGAGTAAGTGAAATTAATAAGCCTCCTCCCAAAAAATCATCGCGTGTTTCTATTTATGAATGTATAGATGGCGAACCAACGGACGGCCGCAGAAGAACCGATGTTGATTTACGACAATCAGATTATAAAGTACCGAGTTTTGGAGATACAGATTTAAGACAGAATACGAGTGGTGACATTGATCTAAGGTTAGGTTTACCTTTCAAACCGATTCCTAATTACACTCCTGCATCCGAAATTAATGGATCAATAAATAGTCATCCGCCTATCTCGTATAAATTAGTTCCAATTCACATACCTAGACCCGATTACACAGATATAAGAAATAGTACAGCAAAATCTCAAGCTTTAACCGACCCTAGATTAAGAAAAGTTTTTAGACTGTCAGTAGATGAATCGAATAGTGATAGTGAAAAGCCTTCTACTAAAGTTGTTAGTACAGCACCGCGAGTAGATCCACGAAGGAAACCGAAAGACACTGTGGAAACCACAAATCCAGAACCAAAATCCAATTCGTTAGAATTACAAACTATCCTACAAAATTCTAATTGGTACAAAGATTTGAGTTCTACTCAGAAAATTTTTGTAAACCAACACTTAGCACCTGTGACACAAATGATAAAGCAATATCAACAAGAAAAGTTACCTGGCCAAAAGTTCGACTTATCTTCTATACAGAATAATTCAGTTTTAGGTAGTATTTTTACTAATTTAGGAATATCTTTGGGAGAAAATGGGGAATTCGCTTATTTGCCTAAGCCTAAGGAAGCTTTATTAAAAACGCCTATTAATTTTAATCAGAATGCGAATCCTTTCGCTATGAACAATAACATGGGGGGCCCACCGGGACCGATGGAAGGCAATATGAACATGATGAATATGCCGCCAATGGGAATGGGAGCTGGTATGAACAATATGAATCATATGCACGGCTTTAATCAACCAATGTCGGATCCGAGAGGCGGTCCCACACCCGGTCTTTTGGGTATCGCTCCAAATATACCTCATAATTTCAATAACAATAAATTTGGAGCGCCTCATAATTTTGGGAATATGGGATTCAACGGTCCGCCGGGAAACGACTACAATTATATGGAAGGTGATCAAAACTTTCAGCGGTTTCCTAACAGGGGTGGTGGTCATCGAGGGCGAGGTAACGATAGGTGGAATCGAGGGTCTTCCGGCAGGGGTCACAGAGAACGGAAGAATTTTAATGAACGCGGAAATTGGAAAAATGAAAGGCATTAACTGTTGTAAGTGTAAATAAATTATTTTTAGTAACGTATACCCTTCCACATACACAGGATGTGATCAAGGTGATAATTATATGAATAACTTTAGACGTGTTAAGATAGCCCTTTTTTATAATTTATTTTACTGTAATAGAGTAAGATTTTTGTGTACATGCTCTTTCATAGTGTAAATATTCTAAGAAGTAAATCAGTTCAATATTGTTTTTGATTTTAAGATTAATCATATGAAATAATTATGTTAATAAAATGAATTAAGTTCATTTTAAAAGTACTCATTATACGAGCCAAATGTTTAAGACTGAGTGCAGGTATATATGATTGAGTTTTTATGTTTTTATGATAAATAATGATCAACGTCTAGTGAAGTAGTTCTTGATTTATTAATACAAAATATATTTATTTAACTCATTTTGGGACAGTTGCATTAGATCTCAATTAGAAGAGTGAGCAACACTAATCATTATTACCAAATTAAGGTGATTTCAACTTGTCCAGTAATAATAACTGACTGAAAAGCAATATGATCCATAACATATGAATTTAACCCATTTTTGTATAAAACGTAATGTAGAAAGAATACTTTTGTTCTTGTTTATATGTAATAAAGACTTGTAACGGTAAAAAGTACTGGACTTAAAATAAATCTATGTTTAATATCTGCAATGTCTTAATTATGCACCTTTATAAATATTTTACTTTGGCCATGACAAACAAGCTCATTGTGTCTTAATAATTTTTTTACAGACAAAAAAGTAAAACTACGGGCAATATGAATGGATGTTTTTCAGTAATCACGTATGTTTGGCAGATAGAAGAGGTAAGTATTTCGTGCCAAAGTCCGGTAAACTATTACCAGAATGAAACGTGATGTTCAAACTAATTATTTATTTAATGTCTGTAAAATAGAAGTAACGAAGTTAGAAAAATCGATTCTCAAGCGATTACCTCCGGATTTCGTATTCACAGCCACCTGTGATACTTTTGAAAATGTAGAAGCTGCAATAAAAAAAGTATTCATAGGTATATTTGTTATTTTTCAATATTAATAAAATATAACATGACATACACAAATTCAATGAGTCCATGTCTTCTTGATCATCTGAGCTATTATAAAATACAACACATTGCTTTGCCGAAAGCTTCGCCTGGCTCACGAAGTAATTGTATAATAGTTCCATTTCCCTTGCTGCTGTGTTCACATTATTTGAAGAGCATACGAGTATCACTCCTTGGACGCCGAGTCGAAGTGCAGGCCAGCATGATTCAAATCTAGTAAATAAAACCTTCCTATTTAGCACTAGCCAACTTAAGTTACTTCAAAAGCAATTATACATAATATGTAGATAGATTATTAGATAACAAAAAAAGACAATAGTAATTAAAGTACATAATAATTGACTTAACAAGTGATTTTACATTGCACGTGAGATATTGTATGCTTTATTTTTATGAAGATAGAATAGATTAGTATGAAATGATAAATACACTATAATTATGTGTCATACAATATATATGATTCGGCGACTAGAATTTACTTTTGATATGTATCATAACTAGCTCACCCTCGCTTCGCTCGGGTTCGTCCTAAGTACGTTTTACTGTTAGTATGGAATAGATAGACTATTTATACTATTATGACCTACAATGCAAAATGAAGTTTTCAAATCTGATAAGTAGTTCTTGAAATTAGCGCGTCCAAACAAACAAACTCTGCCTCTTTATAATATTATAAGTATAGATATCTATTATATACGTATCTACTATCAAATAATAAATAAATTACTCATTACCTTTTCCACCTCAAAGTTAAAATGTAAATTGTAAAAACCCGTTTAATTAGCAGGTTTCTAACATTAACATGACAATCTAATACGAGTACTTGACCAAATTTCATTATTATGAAAGTGAGCGGTGTTTAATTTCATATGCAAAGGTTATATTAGAAAGGAAGTCTAATTAAAGCAGGTGAGAGATAATTACTTGTGGTCACCACTGCAGTCCCACATTTCTATGTCGACTTTATATGGTTTATCGTTCACGTTAAGATGAGAAAGCTCAAATTCGACAATGCGAACTCCTTGTGTAGCTCGAGAGATTCCACCTTCGTCAACGTTAATGGATTCTGATAAGAAATTGGCTATGGTAGTTTTACCACTCTGGAATGAGGGAAGTATGTCATTACGAATTGTTATTATATATATAAAATATAGTAAAAACAAAGAATTCTATTTTATTATTAGTCAAATTAATATTCAAATGCCTGTTTATGTATAAATAGATAAGAGACCCAATACTTTAAACAAAAGAAAATACAGTTTTTAATAAGGCAATTATAGGTACCGAATGTTAAGTCAATACTTATCACAAAAAAAAATATTTTTTAAAATTTAGTTTTGCTACGGACATACGTACATCCGAGGGTCCAATAATTAAAATTTTTAGTTTATCGAGCCGCATTGCTATTAAAACACTTAAAAACGAAAAACTTTAACTCTACCACTGGTTTAATCTCGCACAAAATGAAGACGGCATTTGACATAGGTGTTTGTATACAGATTCATCACCTTGACAACTCTATATTGATTAAAAAAATAAAAGTAAGCTTCGCTAACCTGCAATATTTAAAGATGAGCTAAACTCAATTTTATTTTTTCCTAAAAATATTCTTAATTATGTATCTCTTTATACTCGTAGCATACATTGTAGATATAATATGTGTGATGAAGTGTTTTTATTTATTCAATGTCGATATAATAATAGATTTTATTAATATAATATACAGTTATAAATTAGAAAAAGAAGCAAGGTCCCACACCGAGATTTGAACTCGGATCGCTGGATTCAGAGTCCAGAGTGCTAACCATTACACCATGGGACCACCTGGCGGAAATTTCAAATTTATTATCAATATTCATCAAAATATATTAAGAAAAATATGCAGTGGCCCTGTGTTAAGATTTATACCTATAAAATCATTATATCTAATTGAAAAATTCTATTGTTTGCTAGTTTGTAAAAGTGCTTTACTTTTGAAAGAGATCGAGAAATTGTTTCTATTTACATATTATAACAGATGTTCTATAATATAACAGATGGCCGTGCATATATTATTACTATTTACTATTAATATCTTTGGGTGTGGGTGACTAAACGTATTTTTATTTATTTATTAATTATAGATGTTTAAATAAATATCATTCTTATCGACAGGTAAAAAGCAATAAGAACTGGTACTTCCTCGTGAGTTGTAGCGATGACCGGAAATAACCTGTAGTGTCTGCTGTTATTCAGTGGCATACATTGCACTGTAAATAGCTACTTCTTTTTTTAAGTCGGTTATAAAGCTGTAAAATGTCAGATATTTAGTATATGGTTATTCTTCAAAATATTTTTATAATTATATAATAATGAATGAGAACAAATTATAGGTATAATATATATTAAATATTATGAAATTTTTAATGTATAATTATTGTACAGTTTATGAGTGTCGTAAGATAACATTCTGGAGAGTAAAACAACCTGTTTCATACTGCAATCTCTGCATCACTAATGTTACTGACCGACCTGTCTAACTCTGAGAAATATATAAATAAAAGTGAGCCCATAAACAGCTCATTTATATTCACTAAACTTAGTCATCCGTCATCATCAGAACTTGACATGCAAGATATTATACCATTTTTATCTCGGCGTTGTGTTGCGCTTATGTATTGTTAACATTAAAAACTTTTCCTTATATGTTTAATAGCATGCATGCACTTGATGCTGAAAATATATATAGACCACAATGCTTACTCTGTGAGAATTTGCAAATTCTAGGCTTTTAATGCTATTATGGCTTTTAATAGATTATTGTACTAGGTTATTGCTTTTCCTAGAGGCCATTTTTGTTCTCAAGAAATAAAGGTGCCACCCACAACCACCCACCGCTTACTTTGGAAATGCATAGATCAGGACCGAGCTGTATTTATAACCAGGTATACTCGACCGATTGAAATAAAAACTCAGCTTTTTTCTCAATTCTGACCATTTATTGCTTAATTAAAAAGTCATATTAAAATCTGTTCAGATTTTTTCGAATAAGGATTAAACGGAAAGTTTAAAATTCTAAGAACTGGAATTTTATTTCTATTACGTAGTATTATTTCCAGAGCACAAAATTAAATAAAATCTAATTTTGACGAGCGTCAATAACTTTAATCTCGTTGTCACGTTACTAAAGGTACCCATTGTTGATGAATTCGAAGTAGGATTGTAAGACTAGAATTTATTTAATTTATAAAACATCTCCAACACAATAAACTAATTAATGAGTCCATTTCAACGAGTCTGAACATGATATCTCAACAGTATTTTAGTAAAGATTTAAGTATCTTGCAGATTCCAAGTGACGCTGCAGCATTAGGCCAAGTTTACCATATCGTTGTAATGTCATTGAATTAACGGGATACTAAGTTTGGGATCAATTAGATCTGTGAAAGTTGTTCATATGCTTTTACCGACTTGAAAAGAGCTAATAGCCTGCTACATTTTCTTGATTTATATATACAAAAAACACTCTATCAAGTCACCTTTCAAATAAAACAAACTAAATTAAAATTAGTTCATTCGTTTGGGTGCCACAAAGCCATAGACAGACACACCGATACACACGTTTAACTTATAACACTCCTCTTTTTGCGTCGGTGGTTAATAAATTAATACATAATATTAGAAATCGGAACTTCCATTGGGTTATTTAAATAAGTTCCTTTGATGTCTATAAGCTCATCTAGATATCAATTTGGTACTTTGTATGCGAAGTCAAATGTTAGGTCTATTTTATATCGTTAGATGGAGTTACTAGTGGTATGGAAAATTAAAATTATAATTTACACACAATAGGTAATTATGATAGACATATTGGGGTTTGCAAAATGTTTTATTTATAAACTGGTGAAACAACTTATTTATTATCAAAATGTACTAACTTCTTAGAGAATTTTATTTTTATTTTAGTTTACCTGTTTTCTTTCATACTCATAATAGTGTAAATGTGATTAAGCAATATAAATTTCAATTCTTAGATTTTTTAAAGTAAATATGGCAAAGTATTTTGATTAAAAAAAAAAATTAAATGTGGCACTCGGAGACTGCCGCGGTAAAGCTATTGCATAGCATTTTTTATCAACTTATGCAATAATTTATTTATTTTATTAATGCAGTATTTTTTTTCCTTGGCTTTCTTCATTAATAAATGCACTTTGTTTATTCATATTTAAAACACTTTGTACACAAATTATACGAGTACAGATATTCACTGTTGTACATACATGATAAATACCTATACACCTATATACTTTCTCACAAATAGCTGATTACGGTAGTTTTCCAATACAACCAATGCCACCTAAAGGCAGGTTGCTGAACTAAAGAGACAAGCGTGTTATTTCAAAAAGTCATTAAAAGTTCTGGTATTTATCGATAGATGGAAAAACTAAAAAGTATCACCGCTGTGCCGGTCGGAGTGGGGGGTGTCAGGTTTTTTTCGTTACGGAATTTCTGGATTCGGTCCCCACGCTCAAGGCCCGCGTTAGAAGCTATGCAATAGTTTATAAACTTTATTTTACTAAAAAGCATTTAATAATAATAAGAAGGATTATCTGTATGTTTCAACGGTTAGTATAGAATAGTCTGTATATATTAGTATTTATATACTAAATAAAAAGTCGCTATTATTAGCGATTCGCTCGGGTTCGTCCCTAGGTGATTATTTAAATTAACGTAATGTTTTTTATTTATTAACCGATTGAATTAAAACAAATACTAAATGTTAAGTGAAGCTTACCACAATATGTTAGTGAAAACCGCATCCAAATCCGTTAATCCGTTTCTGAGATTATCGCGCACAAAGGCACAGACAAACCGAGAAACAGACAAAAATTCTAAAAATCATTGTTTTGGGTTCTATTGCGTAAATAAAGACCCCCATTGATAGTTTTTCTCAAATATCTTCCATGTAGAGACAGCGATCAGTTACACTTTTATTATATGTATAGATATAGATGATGATTTTTATATCCCTTACCTACTTGAGAAATGATTGATTTCTCATGCAAACTTTCATCCCCCTTTTCACCCCCTTAAGGAATAATTTCCTGAATAAAAACTATCCTATGTCCTTCCCAGGGACTCAAATTATCTTAATACCAAATTTCATCTAAATCTGTTCAGTGGATTTTTAGTTTATCCATTACATACAAAAATATATTTTTTTCTCTTTATAATATTATAGTGTAGAGTAATAAAAATAACAATGCCATATTTTCTTAGATTTACGCGAATGTTTGACATTATTAAATAAAACTATCTTTTCGGATTATTTCGCGGATTTATTTTGATTTTTGGTTCCCGACGTTTCGAATGCTTTACAGCATCCATGGTCACGGGAGAGACTACACGGACACGGACACGGTCACGGGACAGTCTCTCCCGTGACCATGGATACTGTAAAGCATTCGAAACGTCGGGAACCAAAAATCAAAATAAATCCGCGAAATAATCCGAAAAGATAGTTTTATTTAATAATGCCATATTTAACACTTTGGAGCAAGTATATTGTCCCCGGAAGTAAACTAGTAATAGGTCGAGTTGCAATGTTGAAGTAACTGTTACCAGACTGGTCCAGAACTGGATGTGTCGTTCTAAACTTGTATTTGTTGTTATTCTCTCTATTAGGTACCTACTACGTTTATCTATACATATAATAAAATTGTAACTAAGTCGAATCTGTACATTAAATATTTTTTGGAAAATCTAATTGAAATAGACATTATTATCGATAGAGAGTCCGAATCTATAGTTTTTGATGAAATTTACATTTTTACCGCGGAAAAATATCTCATTTCTGAGAAAAAATACAAAAACTGCATTGTAAGAGTATACTAATATGTAAAACATATGAATTTGGTTTTTAGTCATCTGAACGCGGGCGGAGCCGCGGGAAATGCTAGTCTAAAAATATATTTCGTAATAAAACGTTGCGTCAAAGTGGTTCACAATTAAGTAATAAAAAAAATGTAAGTTCTCTTTATATCATTCTAAGAATATAATAATAATTCTTAGACAAATTAGGACAATAGCTAGGTACTTAATAGTTTATTTATCTGTAAATAATATTTAACAATAGCCAATGATAACTTAAATAAAACTTTTTCTGTAATTATTAAAAAATAATTTTATTTAAAATGTTAAAGATTTGCGTAAATCTAAGAAAGGAATAAAAGAGGATCGTGTTTTAATATAGTAAAGAAATTCTTTAATTACTTGTTATAATTCTAATAATGATAAAATTAGGTATAATATATCTACATAATATATGTATATAACAGTTGTTAATACGCATTTCTCTATTAGATCTCGGTTCTCATAAGCGTAACATGATTGAAATAAAAGCAAAACGCTTATTAATTCTC